CCGCCGTCATCTCCGCCGTCATCTCCACCGTCATCTCCGCCGTCATCCCCGCCGTCGTCCCCACCATCGTCACCGCCATCGCCATCCCCAGGGTCTCCCGGATCATCTGGATCCGTAATATAGCAGACATCTTCATCGTCGTCATCATCGTCATCGTCATCATCATCATCATCATCATCGCCCTCATCCTCGGGATCTGACCAGTCGTCTCCTTTCGGACAGGTAACTCCGGGAACGCAAGGATGATCTATCCCCCCGCAGGCCTTTCCTTTACACGGCGAGCCACAGCCTGAAGTACACATGGGTCCCGGAGGACCAGGAGCCACGGTGATGATGGGAAATGGACCGCCATACAACTTATTGTCATCGTCGTCGTCGTCGTCGTCGTCGTCGTCATTGACAGCGGTGGGATAAGGATATGGCGAGATTGTGCGAGTGACCGGTGGATGAGACACCCCGGATTCGGACATAGGATTAGGATCGTTTGTAGTGGTTATAGGAGGCGGCAAGACCATCGGAATGGGGCTGAACGTGAACCCGGAGCTCGAGTCGGTGGGAAAGGGCACTGGCCAGAATGAGATGGTTTGCGTTGTGATGGGTGGGAGAGTGATCACGGTTCGTTGGATCGTGGCAGTGACGGTCCAATCAATGGTCCAAGCAACTTCAAGTTGCGTGGAATATGGTTCGATTGAGATGACCGTTGGAGAGGGCAGGACGGTGGGAGGGAGCACCAGATTGCACGGCGGTCGGCAAAACACCTCTGGAGTCTTGTCATTCCAGATCGCTGGGTTGATGAGGACATCATGCTTCTCGCCGTCGTCTCCGCCGTCTCCGCCATCGCCGTCTCCGCCATCACCATCTCCATCGTCTGGCTTCCAATCACAGGCATTCACATACGAATACACCTCCCCACTGACCAGGACGACCACATAGTCTGCTTTGCCATCTCCGTTCAGGTCAGCGTATACCACGGGACCCTGCCGCTCGACGCCCGTGGAGATGGTGCCCATGTCGATCCAGTTCCTGGGCTTGCCTGCATCCGGAATATTGCCCGAGTTGCGGTACCCCTTGGCCGAACCTCCGTCGTACTGAATAATGTACTCGGCCTTGCCATCCCCAGTGAGGTCGGCAAATCGCACCTTGCTGCCCGGCTCCCCGACTCCCGTGGCCACGGTGGCTCGCTGTCCCCAGATGCGGCCTCCGTCCTTTGGCGGAATATTCTTCTGGTTGAGCCAGCCGTCGACTGCGCCGCCGTCAAAGACAACCAGATAGTCGGCATATCCGTCGCCATTCAAGTCGGCAAACGTCACCTTGCGACCGGGCTCGCCGACCCCCTCGGAGATCACAACACCGGGTTGCCAGATCCGGTCCTTCCCCTGGTCGGGGATGTTGTCATTATTGAGGTAAGCCTTGACCGCGCCACCGCCGTAGACAACCAGAAAATCGGCAAGGCCGTCGCCGTTGACGTCGGCAAACTCGACCGTGGCGGCGGAGAGATCTTCGTCGAGCCCCGGCGCAATCTCGCCAATATCCTTCCAACCCCCATCTTTTTCATTCAGCCATGCTCGGGCACGGCCCTTGTCATCCACCGAGATGATATCGTCATACTTGTCTCCATTAAGATCGGCAAACCGGAGGCTCGACCCTTTTTTCTCAACGATCCCCGTGTTCTTCCACATGCGGATGCTCCCATCGTCTGCGACGGCCAGAAAGTCCGCGTTGCCATCTCCGTCCATGTCTGCGAACCGGATCATTTCTCCGGTGACACCCTCGATTCCGGGGGCGATGGTGCCGAGTTCGTCCCAGTTGCGGCCCGCCTTGTTGAGGCTCCCCGTGTTGCGCCAGGCGTCGACCGCACCACCTTCGTAGACGGCGAGGTAATCTGGGAGAGACATTTGTCAGTAAACCCCCATGGAGGCAGCCAGGTGAAAGACAAAATCGGAGGAAGATCTCCGTGGGATGTCGCAATCCTCCCTTCTTGCGCTCCACCCAGTTCGGGGAAGTCGCTTATACCAGGAAGAAAGCATCCGGCGAGGAGAAAGAAGTACTTACCAGTCTTTCCATCCCCGTCCAAATCATACAGCTGCGCCCGATTGTTCGGCACGCCCGCTGGCCCCGGAGCAATGTTGGCAATGGCCTCCCAGTTACGCTGATCGGGATCCCGGCCATTGTTGTGCGTGTTGCGGGCCCAGTCCACTGCACCGCCGTCGTGCACGATCACATAGTCGGCATAGCCATCGCCATCCATGTCCCGGAAGTGGACCTTCTCGCGCGGCTCACTTAGCCCTGTGGCCCACTCCGCATCGAGGGACTTGAACTCCTTGCCGTTGGCCACATTCCTCCACACCTTGGCTGCGCCGTCCGTATACAGCACAATCATGTCCGCCTTGCCGTCGTTGTCGACGTCGGCCATGCGGATCATCTCCCCCGTCACCTCCTTCCAATCGGGGTTGATTTTCCCGAGACCTGTCCACGGCTGCTCGTCCGTGCCGGTGTTGATCCAGGCCTGGACATCGCCATTGTCGTGGGCCAGGACATAGTCAGTATACCCGTCGTTGTTGAGATCGACGAGGATCACTTTGTCCCGGCGAGCGTTCTTGATCGCGCCGATGACCGACCCCTTCTCCTGCCAGTTTCGGAAGCTACCGAACACCTGGCCCCGGCTCTTCCAGTTCGCGTCGCCGCAATTGCCTCCGGTGGGGTCCTCGATTCCGTCGCTATAGCCCAGCCCCATGCCGGGGAGGTCGTTCTCGTCGACCTTGGCGGGGGGCTGGATCCATCCGCGCCCGTGCGCGTCCAGAATGGCCTCGTACCATCCCACAGCCATGTTCTGATACCCTTGTGCATTGGGGTGCTTCTCGTCCGATAGGTCCCCCGCCGTGATATCCATGGGCACGGACAAGATATGCTGACCGTCGCCCTGCTTGCGCTTGATCATGGCACCGAGCTTCTTGTTGAAGGCATCTGTGTTCTCCTGCATGCGAGGGTTATTCGCCCAGATCACCGGCGCGACCAGGACCGTCACCCCCGGCGACCCGTCGAAAGCCCGGTCGATGATGGATTCAATGAGCGTGTCGGCCTTGTCCAGATCCACTCCTTTGTCCATATTATTGGTGCCCGCGTGGATGAGCACGATGTTCGGTTTCGCAGGAAGAGAGAGCTCGATATACTCGCGGATATCAGCGAGGAACTTGCCACTGTGGCCCTCGTGGTTCGCATCTCGCATGTCCCCCTCCGTCAGACTCCCGATCATGTCGACCGTGGAGTCGGTGCCCTTCTGCTCGGCCAACAACTTCTGGCGGAGCTTCCCCCGATAGCCGTTCCTATCGGGCGAGCCGTTTCCCTTGGTGATGGAATCTCCCAGTGGCATGATACGGAGATCAGGGAGCTCCTTTTCGGCCGCTGCCAAAGACACCACCATTGCGATGAGGGCCAGCGCCCACGAAAGGGTGTGCCAAGGTTTTCGGCAACGCATGGCGTTGATCATTCAAACGACCAGCCAGAAACAAAGAAACAGATAGATGGGATGCGAAGCTATAGAGAAGCACAAAGTGTGGCGCTTGGGCTTGCTCCCCTAGCATCTTATAGTCACCGCCCTGCCTTCGTAGTATATATAGGCGAGTATACTCCGTGGAACAACTTGCTTTCTTCTGCTGATTGTCGCGTTGGATCGATTTGGAGCCTTTTCCCGTCATTCCACCTCAATATGCACTACACAGCCCCGATGGTCACCGGGGTTACCCAATCGCTCTAAGCTGGGGGACCCCTCTATTCTAGGCGTCCCAGGCTGCGTTATGGTATAGTCATTTTCTCCAACCCCGTCTGCCAGCGATATCAGACCCGCTGGGGCCAAGAAGTCTTGGCCCTTCTTATGCCTTATCCCTTCTTCCCAGTCGACCTGGGCGCTAGCTGCAATAGGAAAATAACATGTTTCCGCTGCAGTAGCGGGAGGGATGAGCTGACGCTGGGGATCCTCTTTACCCGATCTAACCTGGCTGATCTGCCCTACTGCTACACATCCGAGTGAAGGTACGCTTCTTATTGGACGTCCCCGTGCCATTTGATACGATGCAACATACTTTATTATCTCCGGTTAGAATACGCCTGGTCGCCTGAGGAGAAGCTTCCGCCTCAACGCGTATTCCTTGCTTCCAGGGGCATGATCAACAGACCGTAAAATAAGTCATAAGCCAAGAAAGCCGACATCAAAAGCCACAAGATGTCCCTCGAGGTGCCCGGGCCTAATTCCTCAAGATAGTTTCGCTAACCAGCTATGAATCTCTTCCAGCTGTCTGCCTGTGCTTGTATAGCCCTCTTGGCCGCGGCGAAGGACTGGCCGGGCCCCCAGCGGACGCAAATGGAAAATGGTGTGGAGGTCTGGAAGGCAAAGGCCGATGAGAGCAGTGATACAGTGTACACGTACAAAGGTGCGTATGATCTTGAGAAGAAATTCCGTCCGATATCACGGGATAATGCGGGTTTCATGGTGACTGACGATGCCGACGTCCTTCCCCACAGTCAATGATCTGAACCCGAGAGGCGCACGTCCAAAACTCGTATACAACTGCCACAAAGTTCCAGCACTCTGCGCCAATGCTCGAGCCAGGTTAAACGGAGAAACGAAGACAACGAGACACTATGATATGGATACCTTGAACGGACGCCATGCAGCTCGCCGAGACCAGGTCTGTCCAACCAATTGGATTGAAGGCCACCAATGCCCTGAGCCCGACCAGCCAGAGCACTTTTGGTACTACATCACCAATAAAAAGGAGTTCAATCAAAGGAAAATCCAGATGATGCAGAGAAAACAACAAAACGGTCCACAAACGCAGGACCCGGCCCAGTTCGGCCAAGTCAAGATATCGTACGATCTGGAGGGCAATATCAAAGAGACCTGGAGCGAGATTGGTGCCAAATTCTCTTGTGACGAATGGCCTGCTGCATCGTATGCCCGAATTTCTTTCTCTTCTCTCGGTCTTTTTTTGCTGATGATGGCGATTACAGATGGATTGAAGGAGGCGAGGGAGCGAATACTTACTGTGCGTTCTCTTGAAACCCTCACCTGTGTCCGCCATACTCATCAGTACTGTGTCTATGTAGGCTCTCCAATTAGTGCCTCGTGTACGAATCGATCTCCGGCTTTGAATACGGAGCAAAATTGGCAGGGTATCGCTCATGGCGTTATCAAGGTGAGTGACTGGGCCGGTGAGGTCCCCTGCCCAGATGCTAACAGGCTCCATGAAAGAAATGGTACGATTCGTTCTATCACCAATGGTCCAACGATCTACAAGATGGCCACGACATCAACTACGAAATTTTCAAATTCGACTTTGAGATAGTCAATGAACCTGGAAGTAAATTTGGAACCTGGGTTGAGGCGCTAGGGCGCAAAAGATACTGCTATCCTATAAAAAATATTGAAAATGACTGCCGAAAGGAATGGGATGAGGATCCTACTGACCTTTTCGATCGTGAATCAGAGGAAGAATCTTGACAATGGGGGGGAGGGGGCTCTACGCTGTCGTGAACCAGCCCCTTGGTCTCTGTCTCTTTGCATGTCTGTGTTGTATATACGAAGACCTCCTACTTGGAAGGAAGCTTTATGGATCATCCGACAAAGTTTCTCGAATAGCACATTAAGACATACCTACTCCAGGGTAGAATGAGCCTCTAAGCTTTCAAGGTCTGACTGGAAACTCGATTTTGTGTCTCCTTTACGAGGCATTCCAAATTGGATATTTTACTGCGAGCCTAGACTAGCTGGATTTCTCAAGTAACATTCACTATGGGGCTTCAGAGAAACAGATGACTTCCGCTATGCTTTGTCAATCCACAAGCATTGCAACCAGAATTCTACGCCATGTCAGAGACCAATCTTCCTTCTGGAACATTTATGGTTATCCCGACTGCAGCAAGCGTTCATGTCACCTTCGTGGCCACTCCATGAAGGTATAGCGGTGTTCATCTGTCGCGCTATCAATAATTGTTCATCCAGAAAAAAATCCCACGACAGCACTTACCACAGAAAAACACTTTTGCAAACCAATGGTACATCATCATCAGAAAACATCCAGCTGTGGAACCCCGATTACCTCCTCTTGGCGACAGCCCGGGGTTCTTGGCCGGGCGCCTTACGGAGCAACTCCAGAGCAGACATGGACCTCTGGCTCTATCTACGGATCAGATCGCTCGCATGACCAGCATGCGAGTTGTCTTTACTGGGATCCAGGGCGGGGCAGATTTCTTAGTCTCTGCGTAAACGTCTCGGGCCACTGAGGATAGGATGCGGCCTTCCTCAGATAGGGTAAAACTCGACTGAAGATCATTCCTTGACCAGAACACGAGAGTGAAATCTGACTGACTAGCGTTTCTGGGCAATATTAGGCTCCCAGCAAGGGGAAGGATGACAATCCCCATCAATTCCCCATCAAAGCACGATGTCGACTAGTATGCAGCGCCACCTTCGCATGGACTCTACCTCGACATGCATCCTCCACTTGGGGATTTCCTGAAGACGCACACCAGAGTCATTGACCTTGTACATGCATCCGCCGAGGCTCGTCCTGCTATGGAGATTCACGGTCTTTCCTGAATCGTGACAGAGGCTTGAAGTTCATATAAACCGAATGCGTAGATGAGGCCATGTATAGATTAGATTTTGTTCCGCATTCCATCGTTTTCTTGAGGAAAAGAATCTGTAGGCGAGATGTAAGGCTGCCTACCACCGCGATTTTTTTTAACCCATGGAATGATCGGCAAGAGCAATGGTTTCCCTGACTCGTCATCTGACACAATACCAAACAGGGAAGTAACCGCTCAGCCTTCTGATAGATCGCCGATCAACTACTCGAGAGCGTTTTCGAAATACGGGGTCGGGATGGGGTCATCCGATGACTGGAATAAATCCGCCCCGTGATACCAGGGACGCAACCCTCGATTCGTAAAGACGCCACCATAACGGGTGAGCGCATCCCATGCGCACATGCTGTCAAGGGTCGATTCATAGATTGTATCAGCAAATCGAAGCCCAAAGAACTTGCGAAGCATGTGTTCGGCAAAACAAAACCGGGAGTCTGGGAGTCTTCGACCGTTCCCATGGGTGTTGGGAATGCCGCCCACCGCCCCCATGAGGGGAAGAAAGTCCTCCATGTACTGGAACCCGAGATAGTTCCTTTCTTTGAGGGTCTTGCTTGCAAGTCTGGGCAGCGCTGCGGTCGCGGTCACATGGGTCTCGTCCCTGACGGTAACCTGTAATGGGACGAAAGACCCGAAGAAGATGGCGAAGATAGCGGGAATATCCTCGGGGGGTTCTTTGGACTCCTCCTGCCTTTCTCGCGGTGCGTCCCAGATGAACTGCTGTGGGCTCTGTTCAATCAGGAAAATAAATTGAAGAATCTCGTGGAACAGAGTCTCCGCATGGGAGGTCTCCAGGGACTGCGGGTTTTGGATCGGTGCATATTGTCCAAAGGTCGAGAAGAGCGTCGGGGGCGGAGACCCGTCTCCTCTCCGACCTGGCGGCGGAGGCCTCATCGGCGGGTCCAAGAGTGCCCTCTTTCTGCTCTCCTCCACAAATACATCTTCCAGGGGCTGGAAGGCTTTCTCGGACTGGGTCCCGTCCGGAACCTGATACGCAGGAACCGTGGAGAGATATCTCCGGTCACTTTCTGCAAAACAGTCGTTCGTTACGTCGGCGAGGTCTTCGCCGCTTTCCATGATTGTGATGAAGGCCGCGAGAAAATCCGCAGGTCGGTCCCCCGAGACAAGGGGAGCCAGATACATTCGGTAGAGGATGGCACCTGCAGTCAGATGACGGTAGATGGCTCGACAAAACTCCTCTCGCCAAATGTTCCACGCAAAACGGGCCCATTCAATGGGCCCTGCGTCGCACTGGTCATCTGGCATCGAAATGAACAGATCCTCGTCCGATGCGAGCATTTCACTTTCCAGGTATCTGGTGAGCTTTTGTAGGCCCTGTACCTGTTTCAGCTCCTCCAGGGAGGGCCAACGGGTCTCACAACTCAGATCCGAGACCGGAAACGGATCTGGTGGGAGCTCTCCTTTTTGGATGGCATCTTTGGCAGTCTGGGTTGCCCGGATCTGCGCGCGCGTTGGGATTAATGCCAGGCCTGTCTGGGGGGAGGGGGGGGGGGGGGGGGGGGAGCATCGTCCGGAGGGGAGACCTACCGCGCCGATCGCATCAGTCCAACCTGGGATTTCGGCTCGTCCAACGTGCCAGAGAATTGTGGGCTTGTTGAGCTCCCAGGTCAAATGGATCCGCTTGCACGTTAGAATCAGGCCGCGTAGCTGGCGGAAGGAATCACAGCTCTGGAGGATGAGAGCCACCACCTCCTGTGGCAGAGAGGTGATAGACTTCATGAGGGGGTTATGAGATAGTCTGTATAGTTGATCCAGTAATGCTCAACAATGCTGATTAGTACTGTCGGCGTGTCGTGCAGGAGGTAGCGTAGCGATTGGAAGACTCCCTTGAATATATATACATGGGCTGCGCCCCCGCAGGCCCCACAGAGCTTCTGGTTAGGCCACAGTCCTGCAGTCCTAATGGCACAATCGTGTCTATTTGACTAGATTTTCTGGGCAGAGCGAACATTTAGCAAATATCCCCCATGGTAATGTTTTCTTTCCGTGCCTTCTGTACATATTGATTTATTTATTCGGTTTTCTTTTGGTTTAATCTTTCCTATTCATTCCAGGTTCTAGTCTAAATCAGATAACACAAATACCAACAGCATAAATCAATAAAAGGATACCAGATCCGAAAACGTTCTATATAGTACAAGAAGGGGTAGATCTCCAGCCAAAGGAAAATCAAAGAAAGGAAAAAAAAAAAGACAATAAGATAGAGAAAATAAACCTCATTGTCGTTCCTCCAGCTCCACAAACCCATCATCCTCCTCCTCCGACGTTCGTCCCCCGGGAACACCCCCTTGCCGGTCACGACGATCAGGTGCGGCGGCCGCCCCAGCTGCAGCACGCGACTTCATCCACCACGGCGACGACCGTGAGCCCACCCACTGCAGGAAGCGCCACAGTCGGTCCTCCAGGGTATCGGCGGGGAGTCGATCGGGACCGCCGAGCGCAAGTGACGGCGGGTTAGTGGCAGCCAAGGCTTGTTCCTCGGCTTCGACCTTGAACTGGTACTTGAGGCAATCCTTGACGGTAACCAGGCCGGTCAGACGACCGCGGTGTTCGACGAGGATGACGCGCGGGCCCATCTTCTTGAAGATCTCCATGACGGTCTCGAGCGGCAGGCGCGGATGCACCGTCAGCGGGGTGTGGTCTGCGTAGCCACTGAAGTCGACGTAGTGGGCTCCTGAATTGTGCTGAATGGTGTCAAAGGTTTGCGGTGGGGAGAGGTGGGTGCGGGAGATGGAGGCGGAGGCTCGTCGGGCGGCGGACGCATCGGCTGCTTCTTTGGTGAAGACGCAGCGTGCGTTTGGGGACAGCATGCCGTCTGCGCGCGCGCGGTCGATCGCGTACCGTAGTTCGGTGCGGCCGATGTAGCCGACGAGGATCTTTTTGGTGCGGTCTTCGACGATGGGGAAGCCTTGGAATTTGTTGTCGCCGAGGAGATGCTCTGCTTCGCGCACGGGGAAGTCCGACGCGGGTAGAGAGACGGGGTCGCTGGTCATGGCGTGTGAGACGGGCACGTTGAAGACGTGGTCTTTTTTGTTGTCGAGGAAGGGGAAGCCGTTGGACCAGATCATGCGGTCGGCGATGCCTCCATTTCCAAACCGGTCGCTCACGGCTTTGGTGATTCCGACCACGATCTATATGGGTTAATTATGGGATAGAGTCTCTAGTTAGGCGAGGACGTACCATCGTAGGAAGGATATAGGTCAGGGCGCCGGTCAACTCGAACATGATCACCGTGACAGAGATGGTCAGGTGCATAATCCCACTCAACGCCGCAGCTGCTCCGAGAAATGCGTAGGTCCCTGGCGTGATACAAGGGACGTCGGGTTCGCATGCCGCAAACAGTCGCGAGTCAGGGAAATGTTCGTACAATACTTGGACGAGAATCCCGACTAGCCGACCGAAGGAGGCACCAATGGCCATCGACGGCACGAAGATCCCCGCAGGGACTTTGCAACCATAAGAGATAATGACGAGGAAGATCCGAAGGATGGTGGCAATTCCTAGGGAGCTAACCATTTCCCATCGATACGTCGAACTAGACTTGGGTCAATAATGGTCAGAGTCGAGTTTTGGACGGGTTACTCACTCGCAGAGGCCATGATAATCATGGCCGCCGTCACATTCCCGGAAAAGTATCTCCATCATTTCCGTCATGTTGATCTTCAGGAACATGTTCGGGTAGCAGATGAGGGCTGTGATTGCTGCCAGCACCACCGCCTCCACGACGGGAAACTGGGAGAGGTATTTCTTTCGGAACGCTTGCACGCGCAGATTCCACTTAATCACCAATGCGCCATACAAACCACCAAAGACGCCGATAAGCACGAAGAACATCAGCTCAAAGAAGTGCCAGGTGCGATCGTACTCGACCTGAAACATGACCAGCTGGCCCGTCCGGAAGGGGTTCATCATCTAGACAGCGTATTAGCCACAGGAACCGCCTTTCTACCACGCGTATAGCGACATACAGCTAGCACACCAATTGCCACCAGGGCGCAGAAGTAACTCCGCCATAATGTTTTGAGCGGGAAATACGATGCCATTTCCTACGATCCAGTCAGTCAGCGCAGGGGGGTAGATCAGGATCACCCGGATATACTCACCTCCAGCGAAAACAGCACGCCGCCAATTGGGCTACCAAAGGCAACGGCCACACCGGCTGCCGCAGTAGCCGTCAAGACCTCTCTCGTCTTCGACGCATTGCGCTTGTACTTGCCGAAGAGCCGCGAGATGACGTTGCCGGCACAGACGGCGAAATGGACGCTGGGGCCCTCTTTTCCCACCGACAGACCCGACGCAATAGCCAACGGGAGCGCAATCGATTTGATGAGAAGCGTCCATCCACCCAAAAACCCTTTCATGACGAAACCCGCGATGATGCACTTTATCTCGGAGATGCCGGAACCTGCGGCATACGGGGCGAATGTTTTGACCAGGACGGCCGCGACGAAGGCAAATAGTACCTTAAAAAAAAAGGGCATCAGTTTAACGGTCGGGATGACCACGGTAGAGACGACGTACCGCAAAGAATACGTAGAAGACGTAGTTGAATAACCAGAAAGGCGTCCAAAGCCTCCACTCGGGACAGCCTGCCATGCACGACAATCAGCAACCTTGCCAAAACCCGCACCAGAGTATTGAATAGCCCACCTGATTCTGCACCCCAGCAGCAAAACTGTTCGTTGAGGTAAAACGCCGTCGTACAATGGCCCAGCTTGATGTCCGACAACCACTCGGTGATGATATTCAAAAAGCCCGAGATCAACCCAATCACCGCGCCCACGATGGTAATAACAAGCCACGACTGACCCGCATCGTAGAGCTCGCGCACCATGCGCCTCCATCCGAACGCGCCGTCCTTATCCCAGAACCCGAAGCCGTCTCGTCGCCTGGCCCGCCGTCGCAACTGTTCATGAACCGCATCCTGGACCCAGTCGATTGTCGTAAAATCCTCATATCGTTTGATCTCGCTGACCTCTTCCGTAATCGTCGGGGGAGTCACATTTTCCCTAGGGGACTCAATCGGAGAGGACGGCGACAGGCGTGATAACCTCCTCCAATCCCGCCGCTCAGACAGGACCGAGGGGGATCGGACGGAGGTTGAAGAGGTGGGGAACGAACTCATACCATGGGTTCACTAAGCGACATGAGCATAGTCGGAGGGTGGGAGTGCAAGGATATCAGAGTGTGGGGAAGAGAAGGGAGGGAAACAAAGCGTCCTCCATCTATGGAATCCGCTGTTAATTTAGTACTGATTGCCGACTATGAGTTTACTGCCTCCTTTATTCGGGATGCCGCCCACGTGAGACCACCTGACGACGCCTCCGCTTTGGGCCAACACCTCACCGCATTGATGTAGATGACGTGTGCATGGAAGGATGAGGGTGCACTCATTGAAATCCCTGGCACTACTCTGTAGTTCATCTACACCATCCACAATTCTCTCCCATATCCTTTATTTGTGCATCTCGACTGGATCTGTTATGCAGGGATGAAGATGGATGACATAATAGATGTCGACGCAGCTCCAGCCAATAGTATTCGACGATCTTATCGATGAGTCTGGACCAACACGTGATCTTGTGATCGGCGTTGCCTGAGGCCTTTTTTGGGCCGGAACGGAACAACTCACAGCGTCATATTGTGAGGTTGTTTTCTCTCTCTCTTTCCATCTTCAACTTCGCTTTCTCTCTCTCCCATCTTTCTCTGTCTGACCGCCCTGTTTACCCTCTATGATGGAGGGGTGATGTTTTAGTCCGTCGGTCTTCTAAAGGTCTCGCGATGAACAACCCAGGAGGCTTCTCGTTTCCTCCTCCGCCGCCGCCGCCTCCGACCTCCCAGCAACAACAGCAAGGTCAGCAATCCTACGGCCAGACCGGGGGATATTCCGCTCAGTATGGATCCAACTACAATAATGGTCAACGGGGTGGGCGTGGCGGTGGTGGACACAGAGGTCGTGGCAGAGGTTATGGCAATCGAGGAGGTCGCGGTGGGCATTACATGTCTCAGGCAGCAGCTCCGCCGTCGACCGGTTATGCGCCGATGAACTATGCCGGTTATCAGCCGCAGTCGATGGGATCTCCTTCATCCGGTATGCCGACCCCGCAGTTCAACGCCCCGACGCCGACACCCAATTTCCAAAATGCTCGCAATCCGGTTGTCCCATCTCCACAGCCCTACGCGCAGGCCCCTGCGGCCCACGCGGGACAGTATTCGCCCCAGCCGGGCTATGGGGCAGCGTATACCCCGTCCAATACACAGCAAGCAACTCCCTATCACGCCATGGCAACGAACCACCATGCGGCCCCGCCGATGCAATCGCCGATGATGGGACCACCCATGCGCTGGGGGTTTGAAAACCCGGCCCCATTGCCGGGGACCTTCCCCGGGAATCAACGTGGGAACCACCGGGGAAACCAGCGAGGATCACGACAGGCAAATGTCCACCCTCATCATGCGGCAGCGGGCGGGAGACCAATGCACCAGCCCAACAAACGAGACCACAATTCGGCCTTTGGGAAACCCCAGTCGGCAAAGCCCCGGATCCCCGCCCCTCCCCCGGTCCCAAGCTTCGGAAGTCCTCTGCCTTCCAAACCACCACCCCCCGCAGACGCGACCCGGAAACCCAAGAAGAAGAAGAGAAAGCACAACCAGCTAGGGTTGACCCCCAAGACGGAAGAGCACGAATCCAGTGACGAGGAAGATGACGCGGACGAGGAATCGCGGCTTGCCTCGGGAGGCAGCGACGGGCCCGCCACGTTGCAGATCAGTTACCGAGGACGGACGTCCACATTGCAGAGCGCCGCAGATATCGCGGCCTGGATCGCAGAGCGGAAGAAAAAGTTCCCCACGCAGGCAAGAGTCGCCGAAAAGCAAAAGGTCATGGAAGAGGCAAAGAAAGCCCGCGAAGAAGTGCAGCGACAGAACCAAGCACGAAAACAGGAGGCAAGACAGCAGCAGAAGGACGCGCGTGCCCAGAAGGCGCACGAGAAGCAAAGCCGCGAGGAACCGCCAGCCCCCGCTGGAGATCCGATCGACGCGGCGGAGAAGGCCAAACAGAAGGCCGATAAACTCCGACGGAAGCTCATGAAGGAGCAGAAGCGAGTGGAGAAAGCGGAGGCAGACGCCGAACGGGCTCGGATGCGAGTCGAGCAGCTGCAAAAGGGGGTCGCAAGCGGCCTCGAGACGCGGGAAGATGCAACCCAACCGGCTTCTGGGGCTAGATTGGATACGGACCGAGGCCTTCCCTCCGACAGCAATGCGAAGTCCACTATCGGTGCGGACACAGGGTCTCTTCCCCAGAGCGCAACCAGCAGTGGTGTCACCCCAGGGGTCCCCGACGATGCGGAGTCCGCCATTTCCTCCGACAGTTCCGACAGCGATGATTGGACCTCCTCCAGTGGCTCCGAAGATTCGTCTTCTGACTCAGAAGACAGCGACGATGGTTCCGCACCCGAACAAGCCACCTCCCGCCGCGAGGGACCCGAGCGCGTACCTCCGCCACCCCGCGAAGCCAAGAAGGCAATATGCCACAACTTCGCGCGCAGGGGGCACTGCATACGCGGAAACAAGTGCAAATATCTACACGAGACGCCCGAACGCGGGGCGAAGCCAAAGCAACAGCCTGTCCCGGAGAAGCAAGGTCGGAAGGGACTCTTGCAGGCGGTGAGTTCTCCCTATTCCGTAGGAGATTTACAGCTTGCTAACAGTGTTTTGTTCAGCTTCTGGACCGCCAAAAAGGAGACGATGACCGCAAAGTCATGGAGGCGATCATGTGGCTGGGGGAAAACGGCAAGCTGGACGCACCGGAGGGGGAACAAGCGCCTCATCCGGCTGTCGTTGACAACATCACTACCACCAACAGCAACGATCCAGATCTAGGGACTGGGCAGGTGGCTGATGAACATGGCTCTGAAACCGTTCCCAGTGCCAGTTCGGACAACCCCGCAGCTACTACCATCTAGCTGGGTTTGGTGTAGACAGACAGTCTATGCCGTACAAATAATTACGTCGATATGATAACGGGACTTAGCTTCATGCTCCGTAGATGTTTGACTCACCCATCGTATGTTTTCGATGTGGTTTCACGTACACAGGACGGATAGTACAATCTAGAGAATAGTAGATCAAACCCAGCCTGGCCAACCTCGGGCCATGTTCACGTACCTGTCGATCTATGGGCCTTAAACCTTTCATTGGCCAGTGAAATCCAGACATCCTCACTGAAGCAGGAAAGGATTGTCATCGTGAGTGAGTGTCCTAGGGGAGTTCAAGCATTTAAAGTTGTATACAATCAAACAAGTGTAACTTGTAGGAAAGAGAAGGGGAGAAGGAGAGAAAGCACAAGAATAGACCAAAGGAAGGAATCTAAAGAGAAAGCGCTTGATTTATTAAACTCCCAACAATTAGTTACTACCTATAAAATACACTCAAAAGAACCCGTGAAAAGACTACTCCCAATCCCAGCAACTCCAGTTCCCAACACCTATGCAGCCCCGTGCTCCAATACGCCTTCCTATGTCTTCTTTTTCTTCTTCCGGATGAGGTTCCCCTGGAGGACATTGACCTCAGACGCCGCAGACGAAGCCGACGGCTGCGGGGGTGGGGGTGACGACGACGGTGGTGCTATGGTAGACGAGGCCGTAACGCCCGCGTCGCTCTGGCTATTCTGTGGACCATCCTCGACCTTCTTTCGCTTGCGAACCAGTCCCTGAGCTAGCACATTGCCGCTGGGCTCAGCAGTGGGCGTTGGCGCGCCTGGCACGACCGACTCGGAGTCTGCTGCTGTGGTGGGTGTCTGTTTTCCGACGACCTGCTGCCCAACCCATAGTTCGTCCGTTAGGGAGGCTACTTTGTCGGCCCATGCTTTGCTGCTGGCGATGGAGACCTCTTCGTTGAAGAAGTCTTGATCGAGGAGGAAGTTGATGGCTGTTTTGTAGTCTTCTTCGCTGAGGACGGCGTGGCCCCTTCCTTCTGCGGGCCAGAAGAATGGGTTGGTTTCGGTGGTTGTGGTCGGGGCTTGGGGGGGTTTCTCTGCTGTTGGAGAGGGGTCTTTTGTAGGTTTGGAGGAGTCGTGGGGGAGTTCTGATGGAGGTGTCTGTGATGGTTGTGGTGGTACGGGATGGGAATCCGCGGGGGTCAATTCGGTCGACTGCGATTTGTCTCCCGTGGACGGTGCCGTTGCCGACGCTGTCTCGATAGGCATCGGTCGCGAACTAGTCATCTGGACCGAATTGACCATCCCCGGGGGATTAATGACCAGCCACAGGAACCCAACCAGCCTACCCGCCGAGCACTCCTGTCGGAAGGACATCATTTCCCAGAACTGATCCAGCGACCGGACGCTGCGCCACTGGCCCGACTGGGCCGTCCGGGGTAGCTCATCATCAAGATCAGTCAAGAACCGGGTCTTGGGGTCGTCAGGAAAGCGCGGGACCAGACAGCGCGGCGGCGCACGGGGGTTATCGCAGAGCTGCTTGAGCGGATAGCTGTTCAGCCAGCGCGGGCGATCCTTGTCATCGGATTTCGCAGTGGGAGGGAAGAAGCCGCGGGTTTCGAACCGGTCGCAGCCGGGGACGATCAGAAAGGCCGTTGCGGAGTTGCGGGCGGATTCTAAAACCCCCTTCTCGTCCGACCCTGATTCGGGCTCGTACTCCCGCAGGATGGGGTCCACCGCGCGACACCACCACTTTATCAGACCCCTGTCGTCCAGGACATGCTTGTTCGGGTTCTCGATGCTCCCCGGGAAGAGGTACTGGTTCTGGGCACGCGCGAAGAGCGAGAGGAGGAGGCGGACGCCTGGGCGCTGGCGGGTGCGCACGAGGTAGGCCAGGAAGGTGTGGGAGATGCGACGGAGGAGGGACGCCTTGGGCGCGACCTTTTTCAGCTGGTCCAGGTAGCCGGTGGAGTCGGCCTTGGAGACGAAGATGGTGGTGAGATGCGCGGCGCTGTAGACGAGCACCTCGATGCCGAAGACGATGAGATCGGCGGTGCCGGACTCGTCAGACTCGACGGGCACGGACACGGACAGGAAGTGGTTTTCGCAGAAGGTCGGCTCGGGTTCTTCGCCTGGTGGAGCGGCGTACAGCGCGGCGCACGGGGTGGGCGTTGACGAGACATGGCGAATGGTCAGCTTGACCCCGGTGGGGAGCCCTTGGGCCAAGAGATCCCCCAGATCGCCCTCGACGTGGGACATCGGGAATGCAGTCGGGTCGACCCTACAGACGCGGGGAGGGAGGAATCATGCGCGAGGGTTTGTTCTGGAATTGGGCCTTGGATTTGCGCTCCTTTCGTGACGTCGATCCGACTTTCTGACGCGCTTCGACCCTTTTTTTGTTCGCGCGAGGTCACGTGTCCTGTTCGTTCATTAACAAAGAAGATCGAGAGAGAAAGCGATGCGATTTACTCCCAACAGGATTTAGGACAATTTGGGATTTTCTAACAATGGGTCTACTTTCTATAGGTGATTGTCATTACATGGGATGGTTCAAAAGTAATCCGCCACGGCCTCAAGGTCGTCCGCGTTTAACAAGGTCACCCCCTCCTGCAGCAAGAGTCTCCAGATCAGATTCCGGATTCGTACGGGGAAGTATGGCGTCTCCCAGTACCGCGCACCGATCCCTCTCTCCTCGGCGACTTCGATCTGTGCCCGAAGGTCCTTTAGCTGTTTGTCGTCCAGCACCGTATCGACGCTATCCGCACCGAGATTCACCGTGCCGACGGCGTCTTTAAAGCTGGTCGACGCGATCGGCGAAATCAGTGACGTGATCGCCGCGTTCTCGGGCTCGTCAAGGGACTCGAGTTTGGCATCGTAGAAGTAATCCCGATCCTCCACGGGGCCGACCATGCTGAGTGGCGTGTCTCCCGTGCCGATGATGGTCACCGGACCAGTCGTGAGCGTCTTGTTGTTCTTGAGCGTGGTGAGATAGCCCTGTTGACGGAGCGGCTCGAGCGCTGATATCACGGCCTGGAAGGTCTCCGGACCGGATGTCTTCACGTCGATGAAGAAATAGAGTGTTTGCGCGGTGTCGGTGTCGAAGACCCCGCTGACTCACGTTACTTCCTGGGAACCATTGTGGTTATCTGGAAGGACTTACTTCTTCGTAGGGGAGGTGACGAAGGGCGTCTGCGGGTTCTGACGCTCTAGGACGTCTAGGATGGGATTGATGTAGAGCGACTCCAGGGTACGCTCGTGCGTTAGAGAAGACTCGTCATGGCCGACCTAGACGGGACTCAGTCAGAAGCTATTGCTCCGAGAGATGTTGCATTTGATACGCACGTAGAGGGTGTCGTTGTACAGCCACACATCTGCTTCGGTGGACATACACCCGTTGGAGAGGCCTTGAGACAGTCAGGCATGCAGTGCTCGTTCAACGCTACCAACCGGGATGACTTACCAGTATAGAACGGAATATCCCGCCAATAGTCACTGAGAAGGATTAGCCATGCCTCTGGAGGTACCATGTACTGTGTCACTTACTTGTGGGAATGGACAGGGATCTATAGCTCGAATTGAAGAAGCTTTAGTCTCTTATTGCAAGTGCAACATGATAACCCCACTGAATTTGAGAGAGGATCACTCACCGGCAAGATCCCCCTCGTCAGATCCGTAGGATAATGATAATTGTCGCCGCGATGGGTGTTATGTAGAATGGCCTGCATCTGCGTGGCGGCGGCCGATAGCGGCAATGCCAGCAAAAGAAGGGATAACATGGTCAAACTGTCACCAAATGGGATTATCCAAATGACACGCTACCCTGAAAAGATAATACAAGAGCTGGGGAATCAAGACCACAATTAAGACATTTGACAGCGCGTTGGTTCAAATAGAAAACAATGCATGGTTGTCGGTTCGGATTATATTGGTTTATGCACAGCAGTGCCGGTGCTCAGTCAGCAATCCCTTACGCACAGTCTCAACCAATCAGGTTCACTCTCCATCCTCTCGTTTGACGACATGAAATGTATCATTAAGGCAGGGGGATACTATCATCTTTGCAAGCGTGTTATACCCCATGGATTCATCTTTTTACCAGAATTGGCCTACAATCCAGACAGACAGAGGCCTCATTCGGGGTCAATGTGGGGTTTGCAGCCTCAGGCATTCTACCCGCCTGAACAAACTGGCCGCAACAACATCAGAAACTCCTCACCAGATCACGAAGCATTCAGACAATCTCATTGTTCGCATTGTCTTTAAATTCTCATCTACATTTTTGTTATTGCTGCTCTGATCAGTCGCAGCTTACTGGGTATACTGGTAGACTGTGGACTACTCCCAAGCTCTCGCGCGACCCCCGGATGACGTTAGACGAGGAGTGGATCTGAGCTCTCGTCTAATCTCGGCCGTATTTTGATCTCCGAACTAACAGGGGTAAGGCGACCAGAAGAAGTAAGAAGAAATGAATTTGAGTACAGTTCAAGGCCCAGGTATGGATTCGATCGAGATCTGCTCCCTTCCCAATGCGAGATAATTGATCGTTTCCGATAGAAAAGCTGCGGCAGGTCAAGGAGCTCCTGGGCTCACTGGAGGAGGACCTGAAGTCCAAATCACTGACGACTGCTCGTGAGTTGGAATAGTCTGCACTGTATATGCAAAATCCCAACTGACAGACTGGCAGAGCGGGTTCAAACGCTGTTGCAATTGAGACAGCATGGCACGGTCCCAAGTAATGCCGACCCCATTTACTCGGAGCATGTATGCGACAATGCATCCCCTTGTCTGTACTGTATTAACTTTTGTTAGGGAATCGACATCCTCTCCAAGTACGGGGTGGAGGGAGAGACCGTAGAAGTCCGTCGGGCAGCTCTGCGATGCGTCGCAAATGCCCTACTTTTAGTTCCCCAGACGCGTGGTTATTTGATGGCCACTCGCCGGGGTGGACGTTTGGCGGAGATGCTCAAGGTACAGTAGACACCCCTAGATCTGGAGTTTCGTGGTTGACCCGGATAGTGTGATTCGTCTGATGACGAGATGGTGATCAGCCGCATCTTGTTTCTATTGACGTACGGCACGAACCAGACTGAATACGAACACATACTCAATCAGCATGGGTTGGCTGATAGTGTCCACTATGTAAGTACCCCCAGTGCCTGGACCGGCCGAGACCGAGACTCACTTTGCATGCCAGCAAATCGTCCGGCATTCCAAGCAGTTCCCCAAGTCCGGGAAGCCGGCCCTGTCTCAGATGGATGAGCTGGCCCTCATCGACACCCTGAAATTGATCTTCAATACTTGCAAAATCTCGGACTTCAAGAATGGCGATATGGTCACAGGTTTTGAGAAGGCATTCTCCGCCTCTATCCCCCCCATCTTCAAGATGATCAGTCGGATGGAGATCCCCGAGCAGCCGTTGGACGGGTTGCTCAGCTATCTCATCAACTGCCTGACCGTCCTCGACCTTAAGAACGAGTCGAACCACCCCTTCGACAGCAGCCCGCTGTTCCCGCCCTCCGACCCGAACTGCAATGTGGACCGACTCGTCCTCATCCTGGACCGCGCCACGGCCACGTACAAAGCCGAGGACCTCGAAACGAAGGCCGCTCCCCTCCTGCACGCGCTGATCATGATGGCCGAGGTGGCTCCGGAAGGCCCGCGGAAGCAGATGCAGGCGCTTCTCCTGCCGGAGGGCAACGACCGGAGTGAGCCCATCGGCCAGTCCGACACGCTGCCGTCCCGGCTGTTGAAGCTGTCGACGTCGCCGAACAAGAACCTCAAAATCACCATCTCCGAGCTCCTGCTCCTCCTGTCGGACAACAACGCCGAGACTCTCACTCAGAATATTGGCTACGGCTATGCGGCGGGGCTGCTGGCCTCGCGCGGCATGGAGATCCCCCAGACGGCCGGCGAGGCATTCGCTACGAACAGACCCGCGGTCAACCCCGTCACGGGGCAACGGTGGGATGCCGAGCCGCAGGACACCGGGCCGCCCATGACGCAGGAGGAGAAAGAGCGGGAGGCAGAGCGGCTCTTTGTCTTGTTTGAACGGTATTTCTCCGGCTTTCTCTCGGCTCGTTATAAACCGTGCATCGCTAACAACTCTATAGGGCCCGGGCGAATGGACTGCTCAACGTGGAGAACCCTGTCAGAGTGGCTGCTCAAGAGGGGAGACTGGAGGAGCTGCCGGATTCCGACAGTGACTGATGTGCACTTGTGCCTCAGTATAACGCTATAAATATGGTTGATATTCTCCTAATGTTGCCCATAGTGGTTGGATTCTCCCAGTGTTACTCCTGAACTCAGTATCTAGATAGATATTATTCAATCTAATATCACACTTACATAACTCCGGGTGCCTAGAATTTAGCGGAATTTTTGGCTCACCTATAACTAGAACAGATCCTAGGGTCCTGGCACTGTGCTAGATTCAAGAAAAGCGCTACTTTTGTCACTGAGCAACTGGTTTTTATCTCCCAATATCCTTGATATCCTGGGTATCTCTGGGGGATAGTCTGATTTCCCTAACAGATTCTGAATATCAAGTTCAATGAGCTGCATGGATAACTGACTACTTGCACTATCCGATGACCAACAAGACCGGCTTGCCATAATCTTGCTTTATTGGGTTAGAACCCCAGGGTCTTCACAAGCAGCTTTGAGCATGGTTTTCATCTGTGAATAAAGTCCTTTATTCTCCTCTTCCCACCGTCCACCATTTGGAAACACCATCTTCCGCAAGCGATTCACCCAGGGACTCAAAGGCTTGTAGAACTCAGAGAAGTATTCGTCTGTCATGCGAATAAAGTCACCCTCATGTGCTACAGCTCCTTTCTTCAGCTCGGCCAACTCCTCGAGATCCACGTAGTTCCATCTTTCGAATCTGCGCACAACTTTGCTCACACTCGGACCGTCATGGTGTATGCAGATCCAAAGGATGACCCAAAAGAATGATTCCAGGTCGTGCATAAATGAATGTTTCTCCCCTAAGAGCAGACCTATGGCCATGAATGCTCTAGTTCCTGTTTTACCTCTTGCTCCGGAAGGTTGTTCACGTTGCTCCTTGATGGCAAGATCCAAGTCGATTAGAAAGGCTGGCCATGAATGCTTTCCGCCATCCTTGCTGAGAATAAGGTTTCCAGTGGAGATATCTCCTTGGAGAAACCCCGCTTTCGTATGCAACGACTCATAGCCTTTGAATATCAGTATCAAGATATTTCAAAAAGCGGTATTTGCGCTCTTACCTTCTATGCATTCAGCAAACGCAGAGAGCATGGCGACACGCGACCCTGCTTTGTATATAGGCACCCCATAATCACGAACAACAATGCGCCGATGCACCCTATTCTCCTCCGGACCGTGCTCACTTCTAGCTGGAGAGGTAGAGCAGGCGCGCTTGGTCGGCGGCTCAGCAGGGCCAAGATGGCTGGATGTCCGCTTCCGTCCAGCACTGCTGGTAGAACGGCCTGTTTTCGCGAATTCGGCGGCGGTACTGGGACTAGCATTGGAGTGACCCTGGTGGTGTCTTCTAGCGTGTTTCAAATCAAGGCCTTTACGCACGGCACCTTGAATATCATCATCTTTTCCATGAATCTGCACCGTGCCATGGTAGTAATATCTAGCCACATTAACGACTTCTTTTTCGGCTGCCTCTCGCAGCAACTCCCCTTCATCCTCCCTTTCGGGATACTGCCATGAATCCTTGACGACAAGAGGTTTGTCTGACTCATCTTCATGGTGAGCTTTCCAACAAGTCGTGGCTCGACCAACAACACAGGAAGCACCTCTCATTAGTCCATCAAGAAAGAGACGCTCTGGCTGCCCATCCCGCGTGATCTCGATAAATCGATTCCCGTCTGAAGTGGAGATGATACTAGGATCATAGCCTAACTCCTCATTGTTCATTCGAAGGAATGCCAGAATTGCCGTAACGAATCGGGCACCTTCTTTGTTGATATCGAATGGTGTAGATGATATAGCTCCCACGCGATCAAATTCCCAAAACCGCATGATGGGACCGCATAGAGTGAATCCCAGGACGAATCGGCGAGTATCTTGAGCAGCGAAGACTTCCCTGGCATACCGTCCGAGATCTAATAACGTACTAGAGGTTGTATCCATCTTAGGGCTCCGTTTTAGTACTCCCATGACGAGTATTTGTGACCAGTGGGTCTGGTTACCAGTCATTTGCGGGGCCCGGGCAAATCCAACATCGAGTTTCCGAGCAGCTGTAGAACCTTGGAGTGGCTGGTGAGGCCATCCCAGGATACTGCGACAGTCCTTTGTTGTGAGGGCTTCTTCTATCGCGACTTCGTTGATTTTGTCGACCATTGTAATCAACCAAGCCAGAATCTGTTTTTCTTCCGCGGGCTCAGGCCAGCCCTGCCAGCCAACCTGGTCAGCATATACAGAATCATCCCCTTCTTTGAGCCTTCTGAACACGGCAGCGGCCGCCTCCTTGAGACCCTCCACGGCAAAGTAGGCCTCATCAAACCCAGGTACATCGGTGTATAGTGATCCGAGCTCCCCCCTCAACACAGCATCAATGTCATTTCGGTGTTCGTCAGAGTTTGAAACCGCGCTTGTAGAATGCGAATGCGGTGTTTGCCCAAGATAAGCGGGGGGGGTTGATTCTGCGGCGGCGGCATAGACCTCATCCCAAATGATCCCATCTGATTCTCGGTCGAGGACCGCGCCCAACAATGGTATGAGTCGTTGAAAGTCAAACTCACCGGCATTGATGCTTGAGCTTAATCTTGACAAGTCACTGAAAAGGTTTACGTGTCCACTGATAGGAGGTAATGAACGAGAAGCCGGAAGGGTTTGCAAAGCCAACATCAGGTTAATTGATAGATTCTGACGAGCTACCTCTCAATTAGAGAAGCTCAATTGAATTTCAAGGAGTTCCCTTACCTTCTGGGTCCAACTTGCGGAAGGATTCAACGGAACATGGGAGTCCTGAACTCTCGCATACTGAGGTCAGGTCATCGCGAAAGGAATCCAATCCCTCGCCGATCGGCTTCTGTCCAATGGCCTCCGCTCTGGAAAGCTGGGCCATTCTGGAATGGCAAAGCGAATGGATCGCGTTTCTGTGAGGGGACTATACATCGGAGAAAGTACACGGCATGCTCGACCGTAACCAAGCGAATGGGAATGCAAAGACAACCTTGAGCGTCATGTAGTTTCAAAGCCGGTGTTTACCTCTATTGTTACGCTCCAACCAATCACAGTTAACTAGCGGGAAATGAAAATCCAACGGGCTGAACAATCTGATTGGCCAGTTTAAATCCCCCCACGCACCAATCAAAAGCAATGGAAGATCCCTCGGTCCGCATCCACTCAAAAAGGCAAAGACCTTTCCTCATATCAATTCCATACTACCGACTCCAGTTCAATTCAATTCAATCCCCCTCTCCCTCAGATCAAGTCATTATGTTCGACACGGTCTGCACCCTGCCCCTCTCGGCAGACCTCTTCTCGCAGGTCGTCCACCCCCGCGAACCCATCGTCTCCGTGGGCCTCTCCACCGGCCACGTCCAGACCTTCCGTCTTCCGACAGAGGAACTCGACAGCGAAGATGACCAGGCCTCGACCTCGTCCTCGCGCAATGGCAGAGGTCACATCGATACCATGTGGCGCACGAGACGGCACAAGGGCAGCTGTCGGTGTCTGACGTTCGGCATCGACGGCGAGACGCTCTACTCGGCTGGGACGGACGGGCTCGTCAAGGCCGCCAAGGCGGAGACGGGGGTCGTCGAGAATAAAATTGCTATTCCGACGGGGAAGGATGGGTGAGTTTACTTATCCATTTTCAGTTAAATTACTCTTTCTCCTTCGGGGAAACTAATGCGACTAAAGATCAATCGATGCCCCAACCGTCATCCACGCGCTCTCCCCGCAGACGCTCCTTCTCGCGACCGACTCCAGCGCCCTACACCTCTACGACCTGCGCACGCCGTTCTCGAAAGTCTCCGCGCGGCCGCAGGCAACGCACCACCCGCACGACGACTACGTGTCGTCGCTGACGGCGCTGCCGGCGTCGGATACCAGCACGTCCGGGTTCAGCAAGCAGTGGGTGACGACGGGGGGCACGACGCTGGCGGTGACGGATCTGCGGCGGGGGGTGCTGGTTCGCAGCGAGGATCAGGGCGAGGAGCTGATCAGCTCGACGTATATGGGGGGCTTGTCGAGCGCGGGGACCAGCCGCGGCGAGAAGGTGCTTGTGGGGGGGTCGGATGGCGTCCTGACGCTGTGGGAGAAGGGCGTGTGGGATGACCAGGACGAGCGCATCTATGTCCAGCGGGGGAGTGGTAATGGCGAGTCGCTGGAGACATTGACGGCGTTGCCGGAGGATCTGGGCAAGGGCAAGACTGTTGCTGTTGGGATGGGCAATGGGCTTGTCAAGTTCGTGCAGATTGGCCCGAACAAGGTCGTGTCGGAGGTGATGCACGATGAGACGGAGGGTGTGGTCGGGGTGGACTTTGACGTCGAGGGTCGTATGGTTAGTGGTGGTGGTCAGACCGTCAAGGTGTGGCACGAGGCTGTCGGTGGGAAGAATGGCGCCGGAGCGAAACGCGCGTATGGAGGCAGCGACGATGATGATGACGAACACGACAGCGATGATGACGACGGCGACGACAGTGATGACAGTGAGCGGGAAAACCAGAAGAACAACAATGCCCGACGGAAGCACAAGAAGGGCAAGGGCAAGGAAGCCGGCGGAGGAGGCCACCACGTCATGGCGTTCCACGACATGGACTAATCAATTGCTTTGCTGTTATCTGATACCCAAGCCTGCAGAAGAATCAAACAAAAGTGAAGACAGCGACGATCGTCCTTGTACCAAAGACAACCCAACCCAAGAGTTCAAAAGTATATGTATTAATGACATGTATCATATTGTACCTAGTTAGATTTTGGTCCCCCTCGCCCTGTTATCCCATACAGTAGGAAGGCATATCATCACGGCGCCGATCCCGATAGCACAGACTGCACGTGTACATCGCTGGCGTCCACCATCTCGCGGGGCCCAATCCCCGCTAGACCCCACACGCCCGGCCGTCGTTGCGCCAGCAGGAGCGCCGCGGGGCGTTCGTCTGCATTCAGATGCGCGCCGGACTTCCGCAGGAGCATCACGTTCTCCGAGAGCCCTGCATTTGCAGCAAGGAATAGGGGCGTCCGTCCGGCTTTGTTCCGGATGTGTACCGATCCGCCTTGTAAGAGGAGGTAGCGGAGGATAGCCACCGAGGACGTGGCTGCGAGATGCTACAAACAAGAAAAAAAAAAAAACCAAGTCAGCGGCAGGACAAGATCAAGACAGATGAAAGACATACGATAGGAGTATTCCCAGAATAATCACAATCATTAAGCAGCCAGTAATACTCAGACTTAACGATCGCCTGGACACGGTCGAGATCGCCCTGCGCGATGGCATAGCCCAAGTTCGCGAGACCTTGGACCCGCTCGGAGAGAGCCCCGTCCGGGTGCCGGAAGACGGGCTGCGACGACTCGGTCAGTTCCCCGCGGAAGGAGACGGACATGTCGCGTGCGACGGACTCGGGCGTGGCGTCGGGGTGGGCGAGGAGGTATGCCAGTTTGGTCAGTGCCGCTTCAGTGGTCATGTCTAGACCGGCGACGACGCCCGCTCGGGATAGGCTCATGCCTGCTGCGTAGACGGAGCTGACACTGCCTGTGAGGCCTGGGAGAGAGTTAGCGATGAAAACGAGTTAGAGAAGGGAAGGGGGATGACGGCTAGGTTAGAGGGGGGGTTGACTTACATTGTGTGATATTGACGATGACGATGCCTCGCCTGATCGCGTCGGCGAGAACCTTCGTCATGGCATTATCCTGGCCATGCGGTGCGTTGCCCGCACCGAATGTCTCCAGGACCAGACCGCGGAGACCATCCAGGCGCAGCACGGCGTCCACCATCTCGGGCTTGATGCCGGGGAAGATGCGCAGGCAGGCAACATGGTTGGTGTCGAGGTTAGTCTGGATGCTGAAATGTTCGATGTTCCGGGGCCGGTTGACCAGTTCCCAGTGGACAGACGTGCGCATGGACGTAGTCACCGCTAGAGGCGGCGCATTAGGCGAGTCAAAGGCCGCAAAGTCACTGGCGGACACCTTGACCGCGCGGTTTCCGCGGAAGAGCCGGTTGTTGAAATACAGACAAACCTCTGGGATGACGAAGTGGCCCGCCACGACGAGCGATCCCAGCAGGTTGTCCGTGGCGTCGTTCTGCAGCTGCAACATGGGGGCCTGCGACCCCGTCAAGACGACAGTCTTACCCAGGTTCTGGAGCATGAAGCTGAGCGCGGAGCATGTGTACGCTAGACTGTCCGTGCCGTGGAGCACGACAAAGGCGTCGAAGAGCGTGTAGTTGTTCTCGATGGCGCGAGCGATCTGGGCCCAGCCCTTGGCGTCAATGGAGCTGCTGTCCAGGAGCTCCTCAAACTCGTAGGTTGTGTAGCGCACTCGTCGGCCGTATGCGGTCTGTGGCGTCCGCAGACTCGGGTGGCCTTTGATGGTGCCCGAGCTGTCGACGACGACGTCCATCGTCGTTGCGCGCGAGCCGTCGTGGAAGGATGGCACGCGCGCCATGCACTGGTCTTGGAACCCTCGCGCGGGGACGAGGCCCGAGGATGACGGTCGCATGCAGATCGTGCCGCCTGTCATGATGATGAGGACTCTAGATTCGGGGATGTGCGCCTCCGATTGCGACTCTGTCCCCTCTGGGATGGCTCCATCGAGGGTTGCCATGTTGTGGACAGGATGTGTTCACAGGCTGGGAGCGTCTATAGGTCGTGAAATCTCCCTGATGAATCGTCTAGATCGGATTGAGAAAATATGCCCTAAGCTTGCGAAATACTTGCGATCAAGACCCTCCTCGCATTCTCCTGATAAAATCTCTTAGCATCCATCATGCGACATCCAGCTATTACGTACAGTAGGGTTCCTGTGCGGAAAAACCTAGTCGGGCGTTGTCCGATCGGTTGAATAATAGTGGTACTGTGGTAGTGATTGGTGGGGCGATCGATCCACCGATAACACTTTAAAGGTAAGGATGTCCCCACTGATGGTTAGAGCGGGGGTTTCAGGCGGTTGAAGTCGGTCGATTGAAGTCGGTTGAAGCTGTAAGGAGGGAGAGGACAGAAGAGGGAAAGGTGTGATAGGAGAAAAAGAGCGGATGTTGGGCATTTATATAGTTGCACTGCGGAGTACACCAATACAAGAATATCCCTGAAAATTATCTATCTACCCAATGTATTACTATGCATATGCAGCCCAAAATGGCCTCGTCTTTAATTCCTCCACGCTGACCTCCCGGACACAAGTCCGCGGAAATCGCGCATCAACGCCCTCATCCCCCAGAGCGAGATAATGCAGCTTCGCGATCCCCACCTGCTCGACGAATGCCAACACCCGGTGGAAATTCAGTCCGACCTGGTCCAACCCGTGGCTATCATCGGATAGACAGAACCGGCCTCCGCGGGCCAAGAATTCCCGACAGATCTCTCCGCTGGGATACGGCTCCTTCATGCCTTTCCGCAACGCCGCCGAGTTCAGCTCCAAGATGCCCCCGTAGCTCGCTACAAAGTCCAGATTCCGGAGCACCTTCTGCCAGACGCCCGGCCAGGTCTGGAAGCTCCGGTCAGGATCGTCGCTCTTCAGCCGGATCAGGTCGAAGTGGCCCACGACCAGCGGCTTCAGCTTCTGCAGCATGTCGAGCTGCTCGTCCAAGTACGCCTCGAAAACCAGTTCGTCCGTTCCCCCGGCCAGCTCGCGGGCCTTCTCGTACAGCGGGCGGTCGTAGTCGATGGGGACGGTCTTGGTGTGGTGAATCGATCCGACAAAAAATTCGAACGGCTGGCGGGAGAGGGCTTCTTGGATGAGGGTGAACGACGAGGGTCGGATCCAGTCCGTTTCAAACCCGATCAGGATCTGGATCTGCGAGGCGTATTTAGCGCGCAGTCTTTGGGCCTCCGCAATGTAGGCGGCCTCGTTGGTGACCATCTCTGCGACTGTGTTCCCAGCCTCGATCTGTGCAAGCTGCATTAGCTATTTGACTGATTGTCGGATTTCTTCTCGGGTCCGGTGCTCGTTTTACCTCTTCGGGGTAAAAGTCAACTTCATCCCGTGGCATGTGTTCCGTCAGACAGAAGACTTCGAATCCTTTGGCGATGGCCAGCTGGATGACCTGTTCCAGGGAGTCTTTGGCATGGCCGGGGCAGAACTGGCCCGAGTGGCTGTGATGGGAGAAGGGCATTTCGTGTGGTGACTGTACGACCAGTCTATGACAGGTTATTACGGGATTCAGAAGGACAGTCGAATGCTGTACGGCTTAATGGACCTGATCCACGCACCTGAGTGACTCTGATGACCGATTCTGATAACCCCGCTGCGGGGAAGACCGACAGATATGACAGTGAGCAGAGTTGGAGAATTCGGGGGCGCTTCGCCAGTTCGTTCTACCCAAGACGCTTGAACCGAACACCGCGTGTCAGATCTAGAAAACTGTCCGAGCGGTTGGAGAAGATCAGATCTTCGCTGATCATCGGCCGGTCTGTTGATTCACATCGTCGTCATTCTGCCCCCTCTTCCCGCCTTGCGATAGGCTCGGATTTGCATGACTCTGTATAACTCTGGTTGGAAGTGTAATCTTACCAAGGAAGTGTTGTCGATGAAGTCAAACTAAATGGGTATATCGATCTGACCTATGTCTGCATATGTCAGACAAGCAGACAGTTTGATAGAGTGGATCGGTCACTTGATGCCTCAGGCCGCTATATCAGACCCAAATAAACAATATGACATCTCGTGTGGCCACTTTCCTCCTTCAAATACACGGTTATCCAACTGTCTATAACTCTCCCTAACCACCTACAGCCCATTCCAGCAGCCTTCCGACAAACAAACACAGTGCGCAACGCTGCCTGATATGTCTGACGTCAGGTCATGTGATACGTTTGTCCGGTTTGCAGTCTCATCGCTCTCCGACAATCGACTTCTGCGCCAACGCATCGCCTCCCAATCAACATCCCATATCCCTGGACTGCCCTCGTCGCATTCCTCGGAGGTGACGCTGCGAGCTACATGCCTCCCAATCGATTAGGAACCATGGACGATTTGAGCAGCGATGACTACGTGGCGCGAGTCCTCGCGCGTGAGGCGCGGGACAACTCCGCCAACTACGCGAGACAGGGAGCAGAGGCGTATCTGCCGCGACGGTACGACTAATTCCATACCTAGTCACTATGTCATTAGTGCGCAATTGGACCATGCTAACACGATGATGGTGACAGACCGACCGGCGCGGCCCCTAAACCCAACACCCGATTCTTGCGCCACATCATCAATCAGACGGACAGCCATAACGCGGCGCTGAAACGCAAGGAGGAGAGAGAGGCCCGGGATAAGATGCAGCAGCTGAGAAGGAACCGTCTGTTGTCGATGGACGACCACGACCACGGCCGCGACAGTCGTCACCGCCCCCACCGCTCATCGGACACCAAGGAGTCAGAACGCGACAGGAAGGACCACCACCGGCACGCGCATCGCCGGCGGCGCAGGAGTCGCTCGCCGTCAGGAGACAGGGAGCGCTCGCACAAACACAGACGGCGGCATGAATCCTACGACGATGACGACCGGTCCGACCAAGACCACCGGCACAAATCATCCCGACGGAGCAGACGACACCGCTCCGAATCCCGATCGCGAAGCCGCTCCCCGCGACACGACCGAGACCACGAGTCGAGTCGTCGCCACCGTCGCCGGCACCGCAGGCGGTCCGCCTCCCCGTCTCGATCTCAGTCGCGATCGCCCGACGGGGATCACCCGCGCACAAAGGCTCGTGACGAAGGCCGTCGTTCTCGCGGACACGGCTCTTCCCGCCGCCTCTCGCCCTCATTCAGCAAGAGCGCATCGCGTCTTGCGCAACCACAACCTGAACACGACTCCGACCCTCTCGAAGATCTCGTCGGGCCCCTACCCCCGAAGATGGACCCACCGATTCGCTCTCGCGGCCGAGGCGCCTACAATCTCAGCAACATTGATGCGCATTTCGCCGCCGACTACGACCCGTCAATGGACGTCCAGCCGGACGAAGAAGAAACCAATAAACCGTCCAGTGGACGCTTAAGACGGCACGTTGCTGGTCTAATGACCGCCGAGGATGACTGGGAGGCGTCCCTCGAGGCGGTGCGTGACCGCGCGCGGTGGAAACAGCAAGACGAGGATCGACTGCGCGAGGCTGGGTTCGGCGATGACTTTGTCCAGCGGTGGAAGAAGAATACTACCGCTTCTGCTACTGCAGCTGGTGACGACGAGAGTAGGATCGAAGACGTGAAGTGGTCGCGCAAGGGCGAGGGTCGAGAGTGGGATCGGGGGAAGGTTATGGACGAGGATGGGCATGTGGAACTCAAGGCGCCTTGGTAATTATTTATTCTTTGATTCTTTTCTACAGTATTAGCGAACATGGAATTGGGGTTGGATTGGAGTCTGGAATAATAAGCCTATCACTATCAGAGCATTCTATGAACTACATTCATCAATTGTCTGAGCAGATGTATACAAGATTGATAAGATCAACAATAAAGCAGACCTTTCCCAAAAAGGAAACCCGCGATCCGGCTCCATTCCGCTGGTTTGTCAGAGCGCGGAAATCCACAGCTCACCTCATCCAGACTCATTCACTACATAATCCATAACCATTGTCAATTATTGATTCCTAAGCATTGCAAATATCCGCTTAATCATACGTCATTTATTCTTGGTCGTTGGGTTTGGATCATCAATGCCCAGGGGCTAGTCGGGACGCTTTCGTGATCGCGGGGTATATATATATCCGTTTCTTTGTTGGACTTGCAGTCTGTCTTGGAACTGTCGGCTTTACTATATAGTGCATCTCCTTCTGCATAAACCGTTGTACATTGACAATTCAAACCAGCGCAGACTGAATCATGACAGACCAGTTCGCATACTCATTCCCCTGGCCTCTAGAAGGCTACGAGGACCAGGAGCCTCTATCCGAGTAAGTCCGGTCGACCTAGACAGCACAGCAAATCAACACGACCACCTCCAGCAATCTACTGACCAGCGTTCATCATGCAGAGAAAAGAATGAAGACGGAAAATCCCTCAAAAACCCCCAACATGGCATCGTCAGCAAAGCATACGAGGAATTCCCCGATCCGTTGACGAAAGGCCGGCGCGGGGGGTTCGATATCCACATCTATCATTTTCAGGTTCGGCGACACCTTGTCACCATGGGCGATGATCAGAGTGACCCTTTTCTAACATGTCTATGCAGAATAATCCAGACCAGGCAGCTTACGCCCGGGCTCTCTGGGAGAGAATCAGACGGGAGTGTTAGTAGCGCATTTCTTCTTTTCAGACATAACTGTAGTAAATCAGTAGGTGTATAAGCTGACAGCAGTTTAAACGAGCCAGTCCCCGAACTCCGCATCTACCGCTTCTTCGACCAACCCGTTGGACCGCACCCAGTCGCTATGTTCGAGGTCAATATCTTCACGCCGGCGCAGTTCGGCGCCTTCATCCCGTGGCTGATTATCAATCGGGGCCCGCTGAGCGCGCTAATTCATCCCAATACCGTGGAGCTAGAGGAAGAGCGCAATCACACGCAGCGGGCGACGTGGTTGGGAGAGAGAATCCCGCTGGATCTAAGGCTTTTTAAGCTGATGAAGGAGGCGCACACAAAGCAGGAGTTGAAGGCGGAGCAGAAGGGGAAGCAGAGTCTATAGCTTTCTCTTGTTTAGTTTTGGATGCGAAAGTTTATTGGTAAATGAATCCAGATGTTACTCATCCATCGTGATGGCGTCGCTAGTGCTGGATATATAGTTCACCTGAGTCGTCATCCGGATTCATCTGTCAGACCTCTGCTGCAGTAGAACAGCCTCTCCAAACGTAATGCAATCAAGTCGCTAGCATATACTCGGTATATATGACCAGTCAATTCGACGCCTAATCAAGAGGTTGGAAGGTTGAAAAGTGGGTAACTGGTCGAACACGGGTCGACCCATAAAACCACGCGTAGGTCGCGTTCCTTTCTGACAGGTCATAAATAGTGGAAACGACAAACGCAATGTCAGGTTTCTGCACTTGCATCTTCCCATTCTTCTTTTTCTCAGAGAATGTTGTTGCTTTCCTACTAACACACCCTCCAACCGCTGTCGTCTGAACACTGCAATCGCATATCCATCGCCGTTGATGGGTAAATCCACCGGAGCCGGTCCGCTCCGTCGAGTCACCGGTGAGCTCGCTATTTGTTTATCATATGGCCGAGCTGTCGATGTGGAAAGGACTGTGGCTGAGGATGCTCACTAACTCATGTGGTGCTATCGAAAGAAAATTCTCCGAATCCGCCGCCACGCTCACGCACTCCTAAAGACGATACAGATGCATCTCCGTCAACGCCCAAAAAGAATCAACGGACGAGGAAGCACAAGAAACGCACCCCATCTCTCATCGCCTCCCCATCAGACAAGGTGACAGCTCGTCCGTCCAAGCGGAAGAGAATCCCCGAATTGCGTAGGCAGTCAGACCGACCTCGCGACACACCAAACCGTCGAGCAGATTCGCAGTCGGACGACGATGCTTCCAACGACGAGTCAAGCACGAGGACAGCACCGCCGAGGGCCTTTAAATGTGCCGACGACCAAGATGCTGCTTCCGCAGAGCCCTCAGAGACAAAACGTGAGCATCCCACCCCGCCGGTCACACCCAGAAAAGCCATACGAACCTATCCACCACCGACACCGTCAACGCCGAGAAAAGGAAAGCAAGGTCGAGCGGTTGGTAGCCGAGGCCGATTCAGTGAGTACGAGCGTGAGCTACTGGAAGATTTCAAGATCAACTTTTGCAATACTCACGGCATCAATGGATTCGACTTCAACCTCATGATCCAACACTCAGATCGGGATCCTGGTGATGGCGTGTTTCCCAAACACATCATCAGGAAACACGATTTCTGGGATCGTATATACGAGGTTCTTCCCACGCGGAATGCCGAGTCAGTTTGTCGCTTCATGAGAAGGCACTTTCTCCCGTATAAGCAGGCTTCACATACGTGGACCTCTGCGCAGGATGAAGAGCTCATTTCTCACCATTTGGTGTATGGCGCTCAGTGGGCTTTTATAGCCAAGCAGCTAGATAGAAGCTCCGATGATGTCGCCCAACGGTGGCGGAATCAATTGCAACACCGGACCACGATGAACCAAGGGGTTTGGTCCCAGGCCGAAATCCAAGGCCTGTTGGACACCTTGCAGGCGATGTGGGACCGGATGAAGCAGGTTGGTGAAGATGCCTTGTTAGGCCGGGACATCTACGAGATGGACCCCTCAATTGACATTTCATGGTACCAAGTGAGCCATGGCCTAAGCCATTCCCGCTCGGAACAGCAGTGTGGAGACAAATGGCGGAAGATCAGGCGCAAGGTCTTGCTTCGGCGTTTCAATGGGGAACCAGATGCTGTTTTCGATGCCTGGAAAGAAGCCTGGTATCCTACACCCGTTAAACGGAAGGACTCGTCCCCTGGTGATACGTCCAAGCAGTATGAACGCTGGGCGTTTGTGCCGTCCGATGACGAGTTTGAGGGTGCAACCCCCTCGTCAACGCGGAAGTCCATGTCTAGGTCTCTTACACCAAAGCATTGGATGGTGGCCAACCCAGGACGATTATCCCCTTGGGAAACTCCTAGTAGAAAGCCTTCTGCACGTCGTGCCGGATCGACGCGAGAGCCTATCCAAGAGTCTGAGTTTAGTCCCAGCTCTAGGTCGAGTTCAATATCAAGTTCCTCAGGGAGCGAGAGTAGCGCCGAGTCTGAGAAAATGAAGCAACCCGCCAAGCAGCGCCCACACAAGGCGTCTGTGAAAGGTGACCAACCACTCCGCAAGGAGCGATATATAGATGGGCCGTCAAAGGCGTTGAATGAAAATACTTTCAAGAATACCAAACCCAAATTGAAAGATCCGTTCAAGCCGACGTCCATGACCAAGGCAATGAACACTAGCCGATGTGAATCTGCCCAAGATTTCAAGGCTATTGCAGCTGAGCCGCAGCGAAAGCAAGTATTTCCAAAGCAGAAAATGCAATCAAGGCCACCTGTAAGACCAAGTGTATTTGAGTCCACGCCTGAATCTTCGGATGAGAGTGATCTTGATTCAAGACAGAGCGGCCCATCAGTAGTCTATCTCGATTCTGAGTCCGAGTCTCAGTCTTCTGACGGGAGTGACTTTGGCTCTGATGGCAGCGAAATTGCGGAGGGGGTCATATCTCGGAGTGTAAAAACCGGTACCCCAGTTAGAACATCGCGATCCCGTGCGAGGCCTTCGTTCTTCAAATCTCTGGGCGTTACCGGCGGTCAAGAACCAAGCTCATCGGAAGATGAAGCAGTCGGATCATCTTCCAGAGCAGACAGTCTGTATGATGAAAGCGAACCAAAGGAGAGTAAGTCCAGCGCAAGACCACTCTATGTGTCATGAGAAACGCCACAACCAAGTCCACGCTGGTTAATCATTCCAATACAGAGCCAAGATACCGCAATGCGAGTCGACAGTCAACTCAGAAGGCGCCCACGCGCGGAGCCTCATCTGAAAACCCATTACCATCGAGCGACACCGAAACTACAACGAATTCGGAATCTGAAAGCGAGCCGGAAATCCAAGTTAGGATTAACAACGGCCCCTCACGCCGCAGGTCAGCTTCCTATCAACCGACGACCAGGAATACCCGGCGAAGAATGCAAGCAAAACAGCGACTGGTGACCCCTACACCTATTCGGCACGAGACCGACGACACGGATACCGAGCGTGATGGCAGTGACGAGGATGGAAGAGGAGACTAGCGGCATCGATGGGTTGCAAGCGGAAGAGTGCGCTGAAATGGTAGTTTTCTAGTATATTCCCAACCCTGTATATTTGTTGTATTTGTTTGATTTATTTTGGGAAAGATATCCACGCGAGATTTGTTAGGGATGGTTGGTGATTGAATGCTCGTTTGGTCAGCTGGCCCTGATTATATCATTAGGAATGGAGCTCACTCTTAGGGGGGGTTACAGGGTTACATTGACAGACCCATGGAGACCCATTTAGGGTTTGCTACTTGTATGAACTCCAGATGACACGGTCTGACTGTGTAGGGATGTGTGATAAAGATATAGATGAGACGGTGGGGTGGAGGAAGAGAGAAGAAGGGAAGAGGAGGTTGATATAGATGAGCACGGGACCTGACAGTGTGCATGATTAGTGCACGCTTATCCTTTTGATGTATCACTTGACCAGCTGTCTTATTATATACAGTATATACTTATAAATTATAGAGCAATCCTACTTATATCTTGAATGCACTCTATGTTCTCTAACACTCAGCGAGCATAACAGCATCATGTTAGGCATGTTGAACCTCCGAGGGTATACCCTCGCTCTATATTGTATCCTCCACACAGTGGATGCATCGAGAATAGATCTCACAGCGACCTCTATCCCCAACTATGTCTTGGACTACGGTATACTCACTGAACCCTAATACCACCCTACCAGGCACAGAACTAACTTCCACAGCCCCCCTCGTCTGGCTCCACAAAGAAGACCCATATATGCCCTCTGACATAGGGCAACAACTTGGCCACACAACCCCCCAAGTCAACTGGAAACCGATCCACGGCGCCCCCTCGCCGCTGACACTCAACAACCTCGACAGTCTCAACGACCTGGGAAACACCAGTGTCTTCTTAACGTCGATCGAGGGCATCGATGCTGATCCGCAGCCGGCATGGTTCCGCGGTGTGACCCCAGACGAGAATGGTCAGACGAAAGACGCAGTCACTTCGACTATTATCGTCCGTGAGCATGGTGATAACATCGTAGACGCATTCTACTTTTATTTCAATGCGTGAGGGCCCTTTGTATCAAGTCATCATGGTATCTAGTCTCATCCAAGTCAGGTATAACCAAGGGAACACCGTCCTGGGAATGGAATTCGGAGACCATATCGGAGATTGGTTAGTATATACTGTCTACACTACCTACCCCAAAGCTAGACGCTTGAACACGCAAGTAATCATACTTATAGGGAACACAACATGATCCGCTTCGAAAACGGAACCCCCAAAGCCCTCTGGTACAGCCAACACTCCAACGGGCAGGCCTTCACCTACGACGCCACCGAAAAGCAAGACAAGCGACCACTCGCATACTCCGCCAAAGGCGCCCACGCCGTCTACGCTACCGAAGGGTATTTTCCCTCCCTCCCAGTCAATATTCCCCCACCCAAAAGCAAATACTAACACATAGTTATCTACACAGCAACCACGACCACACAATCCCGCACCTGAACCTCCCCGCAGGCTTCCTCGTCGACACCACCGAGAAAGGCATCCTGTGGGATCCCGTGCAGAACGCATACGCCTACAGCTACGACGACGCGGATGGGTCCTTTCACCCGTATGACCCCGCCTACCCCGTCAGCTGGCTGCGGTTCAATGGGCGGTGGGGCGACGATGCCCTCCCTGGGGGTCCGTCCTTGTTTGGACAGCCGAAGTATGCGGCGGGGCCGAATGGGCCGCAGTTTAAGAATCTAGTGCGCGAGAATGTGTGTCCTGACAAGCCTTGTGTTGTGTTGCCTGTGAGGATCTGGGGGACGAGTCGGTAGTTAGGAGGCGGGTATTTACTGGATGGGTTGGTACCGTTGATTGAACATAGTGTGGGTATTGAAGGTTGTCTGTACGGAAATATATAGTGTAGGTACATACGGATGGTATATGTACACAATTAGTGTAGCAGTCTTTATTAGAACATCGTTTACACAACTAATCTACAAGCAAAAAGTATATGAATATGTATATATATCTTGTTAACATCACAAGACAGCTCTATATTTTGACATCCCACATGCTAAATCATAAATATACTAACCCAAACAAAGTAAGCCGGCACACTCTGACACCTACAACATCTCTCCCCAATTAGGCATAACAGTGAACTTCCCACTAAGCTGCCCCATAGCCCACACCTTCCTCTCCTCCTCAGGCTCATCCTCCACCGACGCCCCCGGCGGCGTCGACGCGATAACCGCCTCCTGGAGGAAATCCACAGCCGTAGCACGGTCCAGCTCGAAGCTGATCCCGCCCCACGTCATGGTAACCCGGCCCGAGGCATGCACGTTCAGTTTGCCGACGCGGCCCGCATTGAGCTGCCAGTCGGTGGCCGTGACGACGCGGGGCGGTTCGCGCGTCGCGGAAGACTCGTCCGGCCCGTCGAGGACCTCGACGCCGTATTCTTGCTTCACGGGGGCGTCGGGCTGCGGGGCTGTCTCGCCGGTGGGTTGTTGTGGTGGTGCTGCTTCGGTGGCGTTCTCGGTGGGTGCAGAAGAAGCCTCGCCGGGGGCGACCAGATTGGGCGTCATGGGCGGGAACTGCATGAGGAAGAGCTGGCCGGAGAGCTTGTCTTCGGCTTCTTCTTCGTCCTTCTTCTCGGCTTCTTCTCCTTCGGGCTTTTCCCCGTCCTTTTCTGACTCGGTGGCGGCGACGTCTGGTCCGCTGGTAGATGCTTCGGGCTGTTCGGCGTTAGGCTCTTTCGCCTCCGCGGCGGGGGCTGGCGGCTCCTTCCAGAGTAGATCCTTGATGACCAGCAGGTCCTGTGCGTGGCGCTCGTATTCCTCGATGTCTTCCTTCGTGCGCAGGAGACTCTTCTCCTCCTTGACGACGGGTGGCTCGGACGGCTCCTTGGAGTCTAGCTTCCGGCGCACCTTGACAGTTTGCACCGGCAGGAACCCATCGTCCGTGATCATGGATTCATCCGCGTGCGGCGCAACATCCGCCATGTGCTGGTCGTCGTCGTCGGTGGGCTCCGGCTTCACCTTCGGTTCAGTCTCAGGCTGCTGAGCCGGGGACTCGTCATCATCCTGCACGAAGAGCGCATCGTCCTCAGCGGCTTTGCCCTTCGCCTGCTCACGGAGCTCGGCGGATTTACTCGAGCTGGACTCCATATTGACACTGACCACCCGTTCCTCATGCTCATGTCTCTCGACGCGGATAGGCCGCAGGCCTTTCTCGCCCGACGCCCCCGCGCCCTTAACAGCGACCTTGCCCTTCTTCTTATCCACGACCTCCTGGCCTTCATCATCCGAGCTATCCAAATTAATCTGGTCGATACTAATGCGAACATCGGTATCACTCTCATCGGACGAAACATCCCGACTAACGGCCCCACTCCCCAAATCAATAACCGACCGACTCCGCCTCGACATAGACGACGCGCGCGAGTCATTCCCCCCAAACCGCTGCGAGAAGCCTCCACGACCTCTCCGCGCCCCCATACCAGACCCCAGCGGTCCAGCAGACCCCATCGCCCCGCCCCGTCCACCAAACCCTCCTCGTCCGCCCGGTCCACCAGTCCCGCGCCCCCGGCCCTTCTGGATAGCAGCAGCCTCAGCCAATCGCTCGCGGTTGCGCTGAGCCTCAAGCTTCTCAATCGCCTCTCGCTCTTCCTTGCTGCGTCGGCCAACCGCTCGCGGCTTGTACTTGAGGGTCGGCTTGGCGGGCTCGCCCCCCGGCCCGGCCGCCGCGGCGGCAGGCGGCTTGGATGTTGGACGGATACTCCCGGACGGGGTGGACTTCTTCAGAGACTGGAGACGTTGGACGGGAGGTCTGGGAGCGGACGGACCGGCTGCGCCCGGTGTCGGGGCCGGGCTCTCGGAGGGAGTTGCTGCATCTGTTCGGCGGTTGGCCGCGGCGGCGGATGCGCCTCGTCGGGGGTTCGCTTTGGGAGGCATGGCGATCTTTATGCCTCCACGACACTGCCTGTCCTTTTATCGGGGAAAGGAGAGTGGAATCGAGGCGTTAGAGAGAAGAGGGAATCTAGGATCGACGATAGACGGACATGGGCGGGGTTATTAGAGGGGCCCTTGAATGACGCCTGGGTGGGGAAAAAAAGAAAAAGATTAAATGTATAGTAAAAGTCAATATCCCATCTATTATGCGTGTAGATGATAATGGATTAGACAGGGGAATATAACAGTGCTGAAAGGTTTTCGCGATGAGTCTTGAGTTGAGTTGGAGATTTGGATCCGATCAGAAAAAAAGAAGCGCGCGTTTAAACTAAGCACTGATGCGGGGCGGGGCGCTAAACCGGATGCGGATGTCTTCTATACTACGACATTGATATGATATTTGATCTGATAGATATATATATGGGCTAATAAATTATCAAAAGGGCATATATACCAGTTTATACACTTATCCACGTGGAGACCTGCACCGGCGATCCGCCCGGTGCTTTGACTACACGAGATGCGGCTGGGAGGATACGACGAGACTGTTAAATAGGAAAGAATGTAAATTTCTCCTTGACACATTCTCACTGTAGCGTACAAAGAGTATCGTAGTACTCAGAGTCAAATATACAAAATAAACAGGGTATGCACAGTTAACAACCCCTCGACCAAAGACTCCCCAAGCGGCTCCAACCAGCTCGCACAAGCGACCCAAGACACTGCCGGAACGAATACCTCCACATGAGGACGCCCGCAACTGCCACACTGGAGACCACAAGAGACCCCAGGCCCAAACCCAGCACCGTCCCCTGGTGGCGCGCAGCCCGGATGACGTCCGAGTACCGCTGGTTGCTGAAGCTGACGCGGGAGTATTGCGTCTTCCAGCCCAACCGGGGTACGTATCGGTCGAGCGACTCCTCGACGGACTTGCGGAGCTTGTACAGTGGGAGTTTGACGCCCCAGCGCATCTCGGCGTAATTCTGCTTGGAGAGATCGTTGATCGCGTGCGTGTCTGCCGAGCGCTGGTCGGTGTATTGCTTCAGGGCGGTCTCGCGGCGCTGTGCGCGGACGCTGGGCGACACCTTTATGTCGTATAGATCGGAGCTGTCTAGACATTCGAATAAAATGCGGATGTCTTCGAGGCCTGCGTTGAGACCCTGGCCGTAGAAGGGGAGGACGGCGTGCGCGGCATCGCCGACGATGACGACGCTGGAGCCGTAGTGATGGGGGTTGCATTTGATGCTGATGAGGGGAAGATGCGGGTTGCTCGCGAACTGCTCTTGCAATGCGTGAGGCGAGATCAGGTTGGGGCAGACGCCGGGGAAGTTCGCTTGAAAGAAGTCCACCAGTGTCTCGGGGGACTCGGTCAGTTTGGTGTAGTGGATGGCAGGGGAGAAGAGGGTGCAGGTGAAGGATTTGTCTGCGGACGGCAGGGCGATGAACATGTACTCCTTGCCCGGCCAGATGTGCAGATGGTTGGGGGAAATGCGAAAGTCGCCCTCGGTAGACGGCGGAATGCGGAACTCACACCACAGGGTATCGATATACTCCTGCTGGTAGTCCACACGCGCGAACTTCATCATGTGGAAGCGCGCGGCGGAGTGTGCGCCATCGGCGCCAATCATGAGGTCGAACGGTACCTCGATCTCCGGGTATCGGTTGTTGGAGTTAGGAGTGGGCGAGTCCCCCGGGAGTCGACGCTCAAACCAAGCGCGGTTGGTGTGGAAGTCGGCGCCGGTCAGTTTATGGTTGAAGAACAGTTTGACGTTGGGGGTGCGTTCCAATTCGTCGAGCAGGGCGTTGTTCAGGATCCCTCTATCCACTGCATTGATGGCCTGGGATTTGAGTTAGACAGTCTTGATCACGAGCGTCAACGGAGAGGCTTAAGCCTCCAAGGCACTGACCTGTCCATGCACATCATACAGCTGTGCAGCTTCCCACAGCTCCTCCCCGTCTTGGCCATGGATCATGCGACCATGCATGGGGATCGCATCGTGCATGATCCTGTCGATCAGCTCCTCCCGGTCCGAGTGTCTCATCGCATTGATCCCGCGCTCGGAGAGAGCGAGATTAATAGATTTGGTGAAATTGAGGGGGATCGTGGCAGGATCGCGAAGATCTATACTGTTGTTAGATCAATATAAACAACCACGTTGGATAAAGAGCATCAACATACCCCCTCGCAGCTCATACACCTCAACATCGTCCCCTCTGGCCGCCGCATACAACGCAGCCAGCGACCCCACGGGACCAGCCCCAACAATAACAACCTTCTGTCTCGTCGACTCAACCATGAAGACGATCTGCCCGCGGCACGACAAGTGGGGAGGAAATCTCGATCGGAGAGGGGTATATACCACCGATTGTTGTCAACCACGCACCGTTTTGAGTCATCGAATGAAGCAGACAGTGGGGCGTCTTTCAAATGAAACTGGATTAGGCCGTGGCTCACCGGGGAAATAAAAGGCAGTTAGTCCCGTTTGGAGCAAGGATTAGTCGATCGAACCGGTGGATGTGGATCCCCGCGATCTCTTATCGGGATGGCCGGTTCTGCACCGAGAGACCGCCCACGTGATATATTTCCGACATGATGAGTCAGCGATGGGTACCCGACTCACCGCCTACACTAGTCCCTTTTCGGACGGACACACTAGGCCTAATCCGGAAAGTATCATTTTGCCTGATTTTATTTTCTTGGATTTTCTCAATTTCCTGCGGGGGATCAACATCACCATCTTCTTCTACCGTTGGAGTTAATACGTTTCGCTGTTTCTTTCTTCTCTGTCCATTATATCGATTGTATCCACCATGACTGCCGAACGGAGATGTAGCGGTGTGGACTGCGACAAGCCCGCGGGCACGCTCCAATGTCCGACGTGCCTGAAGTCGGGGACGGACAGTTTCTTCTGCTCACAGGATTGTTTCAAGCGGAGCTGGGTATGCATACACTCTTCTCTATTCCTGAAGAATGAATAAAATGAATTCAAAAACATTCAAAAAGAGTGCTCACAAGAGAAAACAAGAAAGAAGGACTAATAGTGAATAGAGCCAACACAAAACCATCCACAAAAAGAGTAACCTCCTCACCAACCTCTTCCCACCCAAGATAGTCTCTGAACCAGATCCAGCCACCGGCCACTTCAACCCCTTCCCCTCCTTCCAATACACGGGCTCCCTCCGCCCCGTCTACCCGCTGTCCAGCCCGCGCTCCATCCCCAGCGCCATCCCGCACCCGGACTACGCCCGCGATGGCATCCCGCGGTCCGAGCAGAAGTTCGTCGGCCGGCACAACATCACCATCCTCAACAAGGAGGAGCAGGAGGGCATGCGCAAGGTGTGTCGGCTGGCGCGCGAGGTGCTGGACGTTGCGGCGCGGGCGTTGAAGCCGGGTGTTACGACGGATTATATCGATGAGGTCGTGCATAAGGCTTGTATTGAGCGGAAGGTATTTTCCCCTCTCCCTTTCCCCCTCGCTCACCTATAAGGATGTGAATATTCATGTTGAATGAACAGTCCTACCCCTCCCCCCTGAACTACATGCACTTCCCCAAATCCGTCTGCACCTCCATCAACGAGACCATCTGCCACGGGATCCCCGACCAACGCACCCTCCAAGACGGCGACATCATCAACATCGACGTCACACTCTACCACGGAGGTTTCCACGGCGACCTCAACGAAACCTACTACGTGGGCGAAAAAGCCCGGTCCAACCCCGACTCCGTCCGCGTCGTGGAAACCGCGCGCGAATGCCTCGACCAGTCCATCGCGCTCGTCAAACCAGGCATGCTCTTCCGGGACCCGGGCAACGTCATCGAGAAGCACGCCAAGGGGCGCAACTGCAGCGTCGTCAAGAGCTACTGCGGCCACGGCATCAATCAACTGTTCCACTGTGCGCCGAATGTGCCGCACTATGGCAAGAATAAGGCCGTGGGCACGGCAAAGCCGGGGATGTGCTTTACCATTGAGCCGATGATCAATCTGGGCACGCACCGGGATCGGACTTGGCCTGATGACTGGACGAGTACCACTGCTGATGGGTCCTTGTCGGCGCAGTTTGAACACACGCTGTTGGTGACGGAGGATGGGGTGGAGGTGTTGACTGCGCGTTTGCCTGATTCGCCGGGCGGGCCGATTCCCATTCCTCAGGCGAGCGAGTCCGCATGATGGAAGTTGCCTTACCAGTGGTGACAGACAGACGAACCTTGATAGAGTAGATAGGAATAACGCATTTGACGATGGCGTCCCTTATTTTCTTCATTTTCTATCGTGAAGGAAAATTTTTACTTTCACCAAGTATACCAAGACACAAGAAATATATCTGTCTATCGCCAAGCAAAATAAATCCAATTACTCTATAGCAAATCACAGGTTCATGGCACATTGGAGCCCGCGGGAAACATGAGCACAAAATTCAACACCCAGACATGCAACAAATGTACAAGAGGGCAGTCTCATGCGACCCCGTTGACTCCGAAACAATCATGCAACGATTGGTATTTCAAAAAAGAAAAAAGGAAAGGAAACGGTCAAAATTCAAAATGGGATATCTAGAGGCGGGACTTGAGGTTGGCCTTGAGACGGCGCTCGACGGCCTCCATGTACTCGCGGGTGGTCACCCAGGCCTCCCGCTCCTTCTTGCCCTGGCAGAGGGCCAGATCCTTGGTCATGATGCCCTCCTCGTTGACAACGTCGATACAGGCGCGCTCGAGCTCCTCGGCGAAGGCGACGACCTCGGGGGTGCCGTCGATCTGGCCACGCTGCACCAGACCCCGGGTCCAGGCGAAGATGGAGGCGATGGGGTTGGTGGAGGTCTCGCGGCCCTTCTGGTGCTCGCGGTAGTGACGGGTCACGGTACCGTGGGCGGCCTCGGACTCGAAGGCCTGTCCGTCGGGGGTGGTCAGGGTCGAGGTCATGAGACCCAGGGAGCCGAAGCCCTGGGCGACGACATCGGACTGGACGTCACCGTCGTAGTCTAGAGATGTATTAGCATACACGCGGGTGAAGATGTTGACAAAAAAAATAAGACTCACTCTTCAGGGCCATGATGAAGCCACCCTCGCTCTTGACCATCTGGGCGACCATGTCGTCAATCAGACGGTGCTCGTACCAGATGCCCTTGGCGTCAAAGTCCTTCTGGTAGGTGGACTCGAAGATCTCCTGGAAGATGTCCTTGAAGCGACCATCGTAGCGCTTGAGGATGGTGTTCTTGGTGCTCATGTACAGGGGCAGGCCCTTGAGCAGAGCCATCTTGAAGCTGGCGTGGGCGAAGCCACGGATGGAGTCGTCGGTGTTGTACATGGTCATGGCAACACCGCCACCCTGGTAGTCGTAGACCTCGACGGTCTCGGGCTTGCCATCCTTGGGGGTGTAGACGAGCTCGAGCTTGCCGGCACCGGGGATGACACGGTCGGCGGCACGGTACTGGTCACCAAAGGCGTGACGGCCGATGATGATGGGCTTGTTCCAGCCGGGCACCAGACGGGGGATGGCGGGGATGATGATGGGCTCACGGAAAACGGTGCCACCACTGGGAAGGGTTAGCGGATCAGAAACCAGGGGATACACGGATGGGAATCCGGCGGAGGGGGACAACATACAGGATGTTACGGATGGTACCGTTGGGGGAGAGCCACACTAAATGCGGATGTTAGCGAATGGGCTGAGAGTGGGGGGACATGGTGGGCCTACTCTTCTTCAGCTTGAACTCCTCAACACGAGCCTCATCGGGAGTGATGGTGGCGCACTTGACACCGACGCCATACTTCTTGATGGCCTCGGCAGAGTCGATGGTGACCTGATCGTTGGTCTCATCACGGTACTCAAGACCCTGGGAGGGGGGGTTAGCATGGGTGGGGAGGAGACAGAAAAAGGAGTGAGGGTCCGGGGGAACGTACGAGATCGTAGTACTTGAGGTCAATGTCCAGGTAGCTGGGGGTGGGGTCAGTATGCCGGCGACGAGGTCAAGGAATTATGCCGAGTGCAACTTACGGCAGGATCATCTATCAAAGGGAAAACCCGTTAGTGAACTAGGATCGGGATCATACGGCCCGCGTGGTGTGGTGGGATAGACACCGACGCGGGGCCGGGAGGGGGACAACACGTACCTTCTCCCTGATCTGCTGCCAGATAATGCGAGTCATCTACATGGCGAGAAAACAGTGGTTAGCTTCTTCCATGTGAAGACGAAGACGAGAAGGAAGCCGGGCCATTGGTCGGATAAGGGAGGGGGATGGAAGATCCGTCCTCGGGTGATTGACCGTGAATCAAGGCAGAGACCGCCGTCTTTCCCCGCGTTGACGCAGGGGGCGCCAGGAAACATGTGCAACCGAAGGAGGAGACCATTAGGGGGAAACTATAAAAAGGGCGGCACCGGCCATGTGCGGGATTCCTTCCAGTACTTCTTGGCTCCATTAAGCGGGCCGAACATGCAGACCAAACCTACCTCATCACCATCCAGTTCGACGACTGGGTTCTTGACCTTGATCTTAGGGATTTCGGAAGCCATGTTGCGAGATTGAATCCAACGAGAGGAAGAAAGTCCGGAAGAAGCAGTCGAGGCAATGGGACGATGAAGGGAAGCAAACGTTCTAGGGGAACGAGCAAAAGCAGAAGCAGATGAGACAGGGGAAGAAGAAGAAGAAGGAGAAGAGAAGAGGGAGGAGGAGGAAGAAGAAGAAGAAGAAGAGAGGGAGCGACAAGCGGAGGAAGGAAGAGGGGCAACGGCGGCGAGAGGGGCAGCAATGACAGAGGGCGAACGAGCCAATGCGGAACGGAGCCGAAGGGCAGAAGTATTAATCATCATGATTGCGATGATGGAGAAGACCTTGGAACTACTACTACTATCTCCGAGACGGATTAGCAAATCGGTAAGTGGGAAAGGGAAAAAAGGACAGGAGGGAGAGGAGAGGGAAGAGGGGAAAGGGCGGGAGAAAGAGGCAAAGAACATACCCGAGGGAGGAAATTATTAAAAAAAAAAAAAAGAAAAAAAAAAAAAAAGAGAGAGAGAGACGGTCTTGTCTCGGCTGGATGGAAGTACGGGGAGAAGAAGAGTGGAGATCGGAGCAGTTGCCGTTGGTCGGAGGCCGGAGTGAATCTCAGACTCGGACTCTTCCACGGGATGATGAAATCAAAGGATAGAGAGATGCAGAAAGTGAGAAGAGAGATGATGATGATGGAGAAGAGGAAGAGGAGATGAAGTGAGAAGAAGAAGAAGAAGAAGAAGAGAAAGAAGAGAAGACGAGAGGGGAAGAGAAGAAAAAGAGGCCTGAGGTTCCCTTGCGGGAGCGCCGAAGCCGGGATGGTCACCTGCACGGAGTTGGTCTGCTCCTCCGATTTCAACTCCATGCCATTCTCCATTGGACTTCTCTACAATTGATTTTGCTCCATTTGATTTTACTAATGATACTGAATCTACTGACTATATTGACTGTATCGATCGATTATCAGATTGACCTACTGGTTATGCATCACCCTGCATTCCAATTCAGTACTCCGACCTATCTCCGTCACTAACCGTACGAACCCCGACAAATGGACGAATGGATCATCATCAAATCACGACTCATGCATCATACCCAAAACACTGGACATGGAACACACTGCCCCGGTTTCCCGCGGCAAACCCACTGTCCAGTGTCAGTGTCCACTTTGGAACGAGGCATGCGTCATCGACCGGATCGAAATATGGTAACGATGGATACAGCCTAAACTCGGTGTTTGCCACGTTTGCCGCGGTCAACAAGCAGCCTCATTCGTCAGGTGTCAATATACATCAACGTCGTCAATGCATGCAGATGCACCAGCCCCGTTACCCGCATCCAGTTTTCAATCCGACAGAACATCGGGGATTCTAATTGTATAGGGTGCGTCAGTCGTCAGAAACAGTCATGCAGTGGAAACTCCAAATTACAGTGAGAATCTGAGGATCTGTTAAAGGCTGAAATAGCCGTCTTTTTACTCAGAACTGATAGACGGCCAGCACTTGTCACTCACTGTCTTGGTCTACTACTAATTAATATCCACTTAACTGTTTGATTCTATCTCTTCTATCCATTCTTCAAACACATCACTCGACTCATACAGCGCAAGGAGCCCAGTATAAGCTGGATGTCTAACTTGACCACCGCTGTACGTGGCCATTATGATGACCGTCCTTTTGGAGACTCATGAAGATGCTTTCTCGCAGGCGGGTCTGGTGTTGCAGCACTTCTAGTCACCGATGGACTCTTTGGCGGAAGATTCTCCCATTGCTCTGCCTCCCCCCCTCGGGCCTGTTTCAAAACAAGAAAGAAGGTATATAAATATGTGTGTATGTGTACTACTCACCAACCAAAGCCACCCCATTTCCACCCTTCGACTTCCTCAGTCGCACACGCGTAGATTCCGCTTCGACCCCCATCTCGCTCACCAGGTCCCGATCCGGCCGGTCGACTCGCTCCTCCAAGCCGTGGTACAACACAGCCACGACAGACGACTTTCAGCATGTGGCTGGATCCTCGGCGCCCTCAAAGGTGCGGTTGAACGGTCGACCGTAGTTGATGGACAGGGTCTGCGAGGAGAATTTGCCTTGTTGCAAGGAAAGGGCGCTTTGCGGGAGCAGAGACTGAGTACACACTGGGTGGCGTTTACTACGGGGAGGTTGAAGAAGGTGTTGTTGACATCTTGAATGTCAAAGTTAATCTGCCCCACCGCAAGGATGGGATCGACAATCCCCAGATAACTTCGGTTCCCAGAGGTCGGGCGTTGTAGTTGCTGGAGGAGGGTGCGGGGATAGTAGAATGAGGTTTCGAAATTACCAGCAAAGAACGGGTCATCCTCTGTCTGGAGCTTGGTCACGTTCACTGGATAAGATACTTGGGATTCATGGGGGAACTTGACCGTGCACGACTGGGGAGCGGAAGCAAGGCCCGTCGATACTTGGGCGGGATCAGAGTTGACATGGCAGTCAGAAGTGATCGAAGAAGTGACCTCCTCGCACTTGCTGCACCAGGCAATCGACTGGACACTTGGCCATGTCCAATTCTAGGTCGGGCGCGATGGGATCGTCTGCAATGCCTCTTTCGTAGCCCAGATACCCGACATCACGGATGACTGCATATAGGCCCCGAACCAGTCGTCCAGAAAGATGGTGGCTTTCTTCGCCGTCGCGAGCGGAGACGGCGTCTTGACGTTTTCAACGGAATAGAGGACCACCTGCTGGACGAAGGGCTCGAACGCCAGCCTAATAACCGTGAAAGCTGCGCCCAAGGACGCAACGGACGTTATCGTTCGTCCGAAAAGCAACATCGTCGAACCGAGGGGGCCGCGATTTGCATCGTCAAAGGTCTGTAGGTCTTGCAAGGGCTGACCCTTGTTGAACCAGATCCACCTGGACTGGCCAATTGACGTATAAATCGCGTAAATGAGCAGCGCTTTCGCGCCGGTCGCCAGGATCGAGATGATCGTGTTGAGAGTCAATCCCATTGGTAGGTCTGGGACGGATCTGCCCTGCTATTTGATAAGGATTACGACGATAGCTACTAGAAAAAGAAACATTCACACGATAGCTGCGATCTCCGGAGCCCATGTATCCATTAAAGTACGTCGAAACCAGGAGGCTCGATTCTTCTTGCTTGAAACGGGGGTCGTAGGATGGGCTTCCCAGAAGTCTTGTTTGTGTACCCTAGAGTCAGGGCCCGACACGTTCCACGACTCGGGGCTCAGTGGCTGAAGACAAAAATTCATCCAAAAGGGCCTTGGTAGTTGATATCAATACGACATATGGGAGGTGGGAAATCAATCATGCAGGGAAGAAGAAAAAGAAGAAAAAAGGGTTACATTGGTGGGCGGAGGGTTGGAGATGAGAAGCTGAAAGACTGTAGCATAGGTTAACGTCTGTTGTTTATACTACACCAGAAACTGCAACTCGTCAGTAGAATACTGTTTGGAGCTGGGGTTGTGGTAGGAATGATGAAAATAGTCGAAATAACAATGAGATTGATGACTCTGCAGATTGCAAACAATGAAAAGGTTGCAAGAAACATGAAGAGCCAAAGCAACAACTTCCTGCGGGAAACAACGCAAGTCAGCTGAAGTTTCTCGCAGTTCTACATATACCACTAACAATGAGATATCTGTTGCAGCAGCTATCCCATCTACACTATTTATGTATTTGTTTATTTGCACCCTGGACGCTCTTGCGTATAACGATCCACAACCAGTGATCAAAAAGATATCAAAAAAGGCCTGGTGAGCTGGATAATAGGTGTAAGACAGAGAGGATAGAGTGGATAGAGAAAGGAAAGATCAACAAGTTAGGTAGGGCCAGGTCAAGCTTCATTCGTTAGACGTTAAAATACAGCGGAATTCTCTTGTATGCAGATGCACAATCACCGTTGATCCATATCCCAATCCAACAGAACACCGGGGAATCTCAAAATCGTACAAGGTGCGTCAAGTCGCCAGAAAGTAATGCAGTAGAAATCCAGATTACAACATTTACGTGTAAAAAAAAGAAAGAGAGAGAGAGAGAGAGAGAGAGAAAGAGGAACAAGAGACGGGAAAAAGAAGAGAAAGGAAAGAAAAAGAGAGAGAAAAAGAGAGAGAAAAAGAGAGAGAAAAAGAGAGAGAAGAAGGTCAGTCAAACTTCCACGGATCAGGCGGCCCCTCCGATCCCCGTCGCGGACAGTCCAGCGCCAGCGGCAGGTCAAAGTCGTCCACTGCCTCCTGCGAATTCGTGATCTGACATTCGAACTTGCGGTCCAAATCCCCGATCGCCCCCTTCCCCTGGGGCCCAATCACGATCCGCGCGGCAATGTGGAGGAGCACGATAAGCAGCTGGATCGGGGGCACCAGCACGAGCGTGCATGTCTTGTGCAAAATCGACTCCGCATCGGGGTCCGGCGCTCCGCTGGTCACCAGGATCGATGGCGGCGGCATCGGAGACACTTCGCGCGCCCGGGACGCCCGCGATCGCCTTCGGAACTCAGCGCTCATGTCACTCAGGTACGGGTTGGACTCGGTGCTGCGCGCAGACTCGGCCGAAACCGACGATTTGCGATCCGAGCTCCCGACCGGCGACGGAGTCGCAGCCAGATGGCTGTGGAGAGAATCGCGCGGGGCAGAGAAGAACCGATCACTGTCATCCACTTCTAGTAGGGTCTTCGGGCCACTTGAGGAGTTTTCCGAGACATCCCCCAGAACGTCCGGAGGCGGTGTAGTCTCATCGAACGACACCGGGGTGGAAATTTCCGACGGAGAGTCGAACTCGAGAGGGGATGGAGACTCGAGGGAGTGAAAGGACTCGACGCTGGATGCAAGGGGCAGGTCAGGGACGGCGGGGAGTTCCGAGCGGTCATCAAACCTTGCCAGCAAGGTAGGAAAACTCGGTTGCGCTTCTGACACCGAACGTCGCAGGGGCTCTGCGACCCGTGGGGCTGGATTTGTGTGGGGATGGGCGGATTGCACACCCGCGGACGGTTCCAGGGAGGGCTCATTAGCCTCATTGTCGTCCGGGATGGTCTCGAGAAGTGTGCTATTGCTGCCACGGGTCAAGAGGCTGCTATCGTCGGTCAAATTGCCATCCGTCTCCTCGCCGGCGCTCAGCACATCCGGCGCCAGCTCGGCCACCGCCCGTGCCGGGCTCTTCTCCCGCTTCGGGAGCGAGTAGATCGGTGCGCTCTCTCGCCTCCCTTTGGGTCGCCACGCTTTCTTCGGGCGCGGAGCCTTGGCCGCCTCGGGAATAGAGACCGTAAACCCGCGCTTGAACGGGCAGGGGGTGATCTCGTAGCGGAGGATGGTCGGGAGCGCGGTCTTCAACGCCGTGACATATCCTCTGTCCTCCTCCGTAATATTCGGCAACTCGATGCGGTAGTAAGTCAACGGTCGGATGCGCAGGACAAAGGTCGACTCGCCGTCCACGCACCAACACTGCGAGTTCTTGAGGATCGCATGAACGACGCTGCCGCACTTGAGAAAAACCGCCAACCCGTGTATTTTTTCCAAGCGGAGGGGCGCAAACGCGACGGTCCGTTCTGTCGGCGAACGCCACGGCAGCGTCTCGACGGCGTCGACGGGATAGTCGAAGTCGGACGGCGCGGTACTCGATGGGATCGGGGCCACGGCTCTGGGGGCGAAGTGGACGACCTTGGCGGCCGGGTGATAAAAGAGATCATTCTCGGAGGGTTGAAACGAAACGGAGCGACGATGGGGTCTCGCGGTCAAGCTGACGGGCAGCGTGACCGACCGGCGGATGGACTGAGCGTGAGGCGGCGCATCCGATAGAGAGGCCATGATGGTGGCTCATGAGGCCGACGGCGACGGAGTGATCCACGGTATATTATCTGTCGCCTGTGGATGATACCCCGGTCTCTGGTAAAAGTACTGAGTGAAAAGAAGGATTCTGTCTGGTATGTAAAGGAAAGGCAGGAAGGAGAGGCTGTGACATGCAAGGGAGGGAAGAAGGGAGGCGAAGGTAAAGTCAAGGAACCGAATACCAAAAGAGTGGCTGAGTGGAATGATCGAAACAATGATTGGATGGGAGATCAACGAGAGGCGAAGAAGAACAGGAACCAGGCGAAAAGACCGGATAGTATGGGAGGATGTGGAGAGGATGAAGGAACCGCATCCTTGAAGCCGTCGAGGATGCGCTCTTGATTTGTTGACTCGGATTACCTTATGGATGCCCCCTCTATCAGGCATATGCACATGACATGCAATGCACGTGCACATGCACCACGATGCCGAGTACAAAGCTTGGCGTGTTTGCCAATTAACCAAATTGGGTTAGTGTAGGATAATGAATCATTCACTACGATGTTCTCTGCCTGAGGCACCAGGTGGGGTGATCCTCCGCTTTCTTTAATGCAGAGAACCCCCTCCTCGTCATCTATCTAGACTCCAACAAATTGGTCATTTGGTGAGCTATCCTCTGATAATCTCCTCGCAGACAGGCAATCATGGCGGAACAACGGGTCAACGTCCATATCCCCTCCCCTCCCCCCGTCCTCGATAGCGTCCAGCTCCGCAACATCCAGCTGCCCCTGCCCGTGGCCCCAGACCCATGGCATCGGTTCGGGAAGTCCCAGCCCTGCACTGCCTCTCTCAAGCTATCCTACTCCTCCGCCATTGCGGCAGCCGCCGCGGATGATGTATCCCTATCGCTGGACTACGGCAAGCTGTACCGTCGCCTAGAGGAAGACATCCGTCTCATGGGTACGAATCACGAACACCCCGGGGGGAAGATGATCAATGTGAACGGGACGCGACGGGAGGAGATGCTGAGTCAAGAGCTGGGACAGGATGTCCGGTTGACGGCGGGGATTGTGGCCAATTGCGGTCTGGGGTTGCTGGATGAGACGGCCGCCGGGGTCCGGAGGATGTCGCATGTGCATCAGCATGGTGGGCGGAGGCCCAGTCATTCGGCGGGCCAGCTGGACGCTGAATTGGCGTCCTCCCTCACATCGTCGGATACCTCGATCAACGGGTCGTTCGGTCAATGCGAGGTCTGGCTGCATCTACCCAAGGCGCTGCTGCGCGCCGAGGAGGGGCTCCGGTACCGCAGCGTCACCATGTGGGGATATCGCGAAGGAGTCATGGGTCTCGAGTCAGAACGCTGCCCGGTGGTGCTGGAGGAGGAATTCCGCATTGACGGAATCAGGTGTCACTGCATCCTGGGGGTTAACTCCCACGAGAGGGTGGAGAAACAGGCGGTAATCATCTCGTTGGAGTTCAAGGGGCCTGGCCAGTTGGCGTGGGGATCCACGGTGGTGAACACCTGCCAGGACATGACACGGGCGGTTGCCGAGGTAGGCGGACTCCACATCTCCCTGTCCAGTGTGGTGGCAAGTACTAATTGTCCTTCATAGCGAGTCGAGGGAACGTCGTACCAGACGGTCGAAGCGCTCGCGACTTTCGTTGCCCATATCGTGACGGTTGACTACGGGAATGAGCGCGTCACGGTCAAGGTGGAAAAGCCCAGCGCGTTGGCCTTTGTGGAGAGATCCGGCGTCGAGGTGACGCGATCCCAGGCCTTTTTCGTGCGGCCGGATGGGAATGCGGTGTGATCTGATTGTTGTCGTTCGATCCGAACCTCGCAAGTGGATCAGGGACCTGCGATAATAACAATCGTCGGGCCTCGCTGTCGAGACTTCTTGCCGCTCATCCGGTATGGACCACGCGTCTCTTGGTGATTGCATCCAGCACTCCACCGTGTCGGCCAGTACATCACTCGTGCGCGTCTGCCATATCTGCACCTGGTTCGTGGAACAGAAGCGACTGATCTGTCTTCGTGGTGGGCGATCTAAGGAGATCCCTCAACGAAAATATCTCCGCGCAGACCCATGTTTCATCGCACCGGTGTCGCAATCTCTTGTTCTGCCAGCGGATAGCGCTGGGCCGTCCCCAAGACCCTGGAAATATATTGGAGTCATCTCCGACCATCGATTGTCTATCGATCGTACCCCTTCAGTTCTGGAGACAACCTGGTATACGAACCCCACCGCAAATGAGCCCGTACCCGTAGGTAGATGTTCCAATTATAGTAGACTGGTCCTTGGCGATGGTGTCATCATCCGCGCGGCGTTGCCTCGGTCGGAGCAATACGATTGATTGCCTTCTTTCTCATCCCCTTCAGTCCAATAATTCAGACAAGTCACGGCTCTAAGATTATCATTTCCTCCGATTACAAGAGACCCCATCATAAGCTCCATCCATCCTGAACGCCTCTGGGCGATGGCGTTCGTCCCCTGAACGCAGGCGGAGCCCCTATTCGGTCCATCCGTTTGACACCGCCCCCCCGGTCGCATGGACGGGTTCTGATTTGTTACCGATGAGTTGCTTTCCAGGACAAAGTGGAGCTTGACACCATTAGTAGACTAATGGTATAGATCATGTTCTGGAAACGTTCCATCATTGGAGGGGGAACGAAGAAGCTGTTTGAGAGGAGGAACAAGCAGGGAGGTTGGATGGATTATTGGATTCGATTAGAATCCATTATAGTGACTCCTGACTTCTGTATAAGGACCGTTAATCTTTAACTAGATGTGAGATTAGTGTTTTTAATTCGACTGAAGATAAGTTTTGGTTTATTTTTGATTTTTGTTTGCCAAGCGAACAGGATCAGACTTGCTCTTACTTTTTGCTGGGCTGTGTTTAATCCTTCGGCCTCGTCTTACCTCCTCTTACCTATCTGTCCTCTCTCTCTCTCTCTCTCTCTCTTTTTATTCTCCCCCCCTCCCCCTCTTAACCAACCTTAATACCTCTCCATCTGTATATATACAATCCATAGATAATATATATATAGATATCCCGTGTATTGACTTACCCCCAAGGCAATGCCTCGTCCATGACCATGACACTGGTCCCCCACGATCCTCGCGATGCCGAGGACGCCCCGTTCCTCCCCAGCGCCGACAGCGCCGACAGCGCTAGCAACAGCAATTCCTCCCCCTGGGACCGCAAAGAGCGCAATGAACCCCATGCGATCGATCCGAAACTCCGTCTCCGCCTCATGGTGACCCTGTTCGCCATGGTCCTGGCCATCGAAGTCGGCATCGTCATGGCCGGCGGACCAATGACCCAGATCTATGAGTCCATCACCTGTCGCGAGTTCTATGCCCGCACCGATCCGTCCCACATTGGCCCCAGTGGGTATGTCGAAGAGTCGCAGTGCAAGCTCAAGGAAGTTCAGTCTGAGTTGGCGGCCGTCAAGGGGTATATGGAATTCTTTGACGGGATTTTGAGTAAGTTGCTCGTCTTTCCGGGTCTTCTTCCCTGTTGGGCATATGACTGATCATCCTGTCTCCTTCAGGCGTCTTTATGGCCATCCCGTACGGTTTGATGGCCGATCGCTCCGGCCGCAAGCCAACCATCATGCTCAGTATCCCCGGTTTCTTCCTCAACGGCTTGATCAATCTCGTCGTCATCTGGTATTCTGACGTGCTCCCGCTGCGGGCCGTCTGGGTTTCGTCCTTGGCCTGGTTGATCGGGGGAGGACCCGTCGTGGCCTTTGCCGTCTCGTGGACCATGATGTCCGACGTCACCACCGAAGAAGAAAGGTAGCGCTGCCCAGCTCGATGGAGGGAAACCAATGAAGGATACACAGGTACTAACCGCTCTTAGGGCGCCCATGTTCTTCAAGTTCGGCGTCGCCAGTATGGGGGCCGACTTTGTCACCAGCTTGGCGAGTTCCTGGCTGATGGCCATGAATCCGTGGATTCCCCTGTTGGCGGGGTGGTCAATCGTGATGGGAGGGGTCTGTCTGACACTGACCCTGCCTGAGACCATGCACACAGTACGCGCTCATCCTTCGTCGCCGTCTCCCAGCATCGAGCTCTCTCGATGGTCGCACGAAGACCTGGAGAGTCACACAAGGCGGGTTTCGAAGGAACCCGGCCCAGACGACTGGAACGATTTCGAGTCTCCCAAAGAGGGCGAAACACGACTCCCGCGAGGCGGCCCTAGCACACCACCCCCGATGATCGTCAAGCTCGTCGCCCGGTGTCGCGCCTATCTGACACCCTATTCCTTCATCTTTCGCAACAAACACTTCACGCTTCTCCTCTCCGCCTTTCTCGTCTATCGCCTGAGCCGCGGCTCCTCCTGGTTCTTAGTCCAGTACATCTCCACCCGCTACCACTGGAGCCTTGCGCGGGCCAACTTTCTCATGTCCTGGAAGCCCGCCCTCACCATCCCACTTTTTCTCTGGATGCTGCCAGCCATCTCCCGGCGGCTCCTCCGCACCATGAAAACAAATCAGAAGGACCTGTACCTCGCCCGTGTCAGCATCATATTCCTCATAGTAGGCACCCTGGGCATCGGCCTGTCGCCAACAATCGCCACGCTGATCCCCAGCCTAATCGCCCAGACCGCCGGCGCAGGCTTCGTCTTCCTTACGCGATCCCTCGTCACAACGCTCGTCCGGCGCGAAGAAACCGCCCGGCTCTTCACCATGATCGAAGTCCTCCAGTCCGTAGGCAACGTCGTCGCCAGCCTGTCCATCACAGCCGTCTTCCAGATCGGTCTAGAGATGGGCGGGGTCTGGATCGGCCTCGCGTGGATGATGACAAGCACAGCATTTACCCTGGTCGGGCTAGCCATTTGGCTGTTCCGGCTGCCTCCCTCCCCGGTGGAAGATGGCCATTTCGACGATCTCTGATGCCCTGGTGGTGTTGAGATTTGTATATTGTGTCTGTATATATTTTTTGTATGTAATGGTGGAGGTCCGACCTCGTGAATATATAGTACTGGTTCATTAGACAGTGAGTCTGTTGACAGTCCGGTAAAACAGCATGAATTCATGCGAAGTAGGACAGTCCAGTATCAGACTGCAAAGTGAATGCATCGGAGCTGTATTCGCACTCCAGTGCGAGTTAAATATCAGAAAATGATCGCAGTGTTGGTTCCACCAGAGGGGTGCATGGGTACCACCATAAGAGAACCAAGATCTGCATGTGTCAACATCCTGGTTCTCGGCCAGTTAAACCCCCCCCCCCCCCCCTATACTCCAGTCTGTGAACAGACACTGGAGTACTGTGAACAGAGAGGCTTTCAGACATCCGGGGAGTAAGGCGATTGACAGTGGATGGAGGATGGATGAAGAAGGGATGAAAGAACGGGAAGGGATAAACAAGACGGTTGAGCCGCAGATCAAGGTTGAGTCATTTTCTGAACCAATCCGAGCTGACGCCAACTCTATATATTCAATACTATTATGGTACAAGCATATATATAATCTCTAGTATGAACAAGGTTCTATAGACTCTATAAATGGCATATATATGTACGGTATATTGAAACATGTTCAAGAGTGTAGCGATGAGGTAAGGCCAGCTATCCAGAGACGCCATCGCGCCCCAGTCCCCATCGTCCTACCTCGCGCATCGCCTCATCGCCGCCCTCAACCAGGCGACCGTCGGCGTTGGCTGGGTTTCCACTGCCGAGGACGCCCGCCACGCACTCCCAGCCGTTGCGGCCGCCTCCCCAGCGGAGCACCTCGTTCTTGTAGCGCTCGCCAGCGGAGCGATCCACGGATGCCTGCCCCGCCTGGAAAACGTCCTCCCACATCTTGTTCGCGATGGCCCGGTCGAAGATGTAGCTGTAGTAGGTGGCGCCGTAGCCGTAGAGATGGCCGAAGAAACCTTGCCACGAGGTGGGAGGCTGGGAGTCGGCCGGGTCGGGCAGGGTGGAGTGTGCCGACGACACCTGGTGGTAGATGTGCGTGCTGTCGATGGCGCCTCCGGCCGGCAGTGAGTGGTAGGCCTGGTCGACGAGAGCCATGAGGATCTGGGATTCGTTCTCGACTGCGCCGTAGATCGATCCGTGGGCCGTGCGGTCCTGCTCCATGCTGCGCATCATGTTCTCCGACAGGGGCGCGTCGGTCTCCCAGTGGCGTGCGTACATGGACAAGACCGCCGGCTCGGTGGCAAATCGCTCCATTAGCACGGACGGCAGCTCCGCGAAGTCTGTTGCGCAGCGCGTCCCCGAGATGGACTGCAGTCGCGTCTGGCCCAGGATTGAATGCAGCGCGTGGCCCATTTCGTGGAACAGAGTACGCACGCTGTGCTCGCTGAGCAGCGACGGACGCCCTGCGCCCGTCGCCGGAGGTTCGGCAAAGTCGCAGACCAGCGCGATCGTGGGTAGCTGACGGAGCGTCTGCGACTGCGGGTCGATGGCCGTCGCCATGCCGTCATTGGGGTGGGCCGACTGGTCGAGCGTCGCGCACTCGGCCACTTCCTCAGGGGAAATTTCGCGCGAGCACCGCAGCGTAAAGTGCGCCGGGTTGGGGTGCTTGTCCGGTCGCGAGAACAGGTCGCAGTAGATCACTGCGATATGCCGACCCGACTCGTCGACCACGTCCAGACGACGCACGTCCGGGTTCCACGTCTCGCCGGACGCGGTTTCCTGGGGCACCAGACGCACTCCGTAGAGACGGTCGAAGAGCCGGGACAAGCCCTGCATTACCGTCCCGAGGGAGAAAAACTCGGGCACCGCACTCAGCTCGCGCGACCGTCGGGACTGCGAATGCTGCATGACCCGCTGATGCACATAGTACGCATGGTCCCAGGGCTGGATCTGGGAGTCTCCCTTCATCTGCTGTAGCCGGAATAGCTCCTCGCGGACGAACTCCCGGTTGCTCCCCACCAACGACGTGAGGAAGTTCGACACCGCCTCGGGGGATTTCGCCATCTTATCGCTGAGCGTCATGTGGCCGAAGCTGGAGAATCCGGAGAGCTTGGCTAACTCTGCCCGCTTGGCCAGAAGCTCCTCGAGGCGCCCGATCTGTCGTCCGCTCGATGTTCTCGTGGCCAGGTAGACCTCTCTCCGAGTCGACTCATCGTGGACTGACCGCAACGCCAGTCTCGGGATCAGTCCCGTGGTCGGTACCGACGCTGTCCGGTTCCACCGCTTAATCTTTTGAACGAGGATCGGGTCCAGCCCACGGAGACTGTTGGCACCCACGACCACATGGGATTTGGCTGGCTCGGCGCTGTTGACAAAGGCCGATCCCACCTGGCTGATTTCATTGGAAAGATTGACAAATCGCTGGCGTTCATTCGGGGGCATGTGGATTGCGGAATTCGAAAAGTCCTTGATCAAGATGTGCGCAACGATCTTCTCCTCCTCACTCCAATGCGAGGTGACATCCGCGTTGGCGGCCGCTGTTTTCAGTTGATCGTGGAGCCCGGTGGTGGTGTTTAGTACATTCATGTACTCGAACATGAGGGCGTACGCCTGAGTGGCAGCGTCCTGCACCTGGGGATCCGGGTGGATGACTCGAATGAAGTCCGACAAATCAATCACACGGCACAGGAGGTCGCTTAGTCGGTCCAGATCGCGCGCCATAGTTCTATAATCCTCCAATGTCGACGCCTGCAACACCTTTGTCACAATCGCTTGGCATTTCTGGAGGGTGTTGCCCGCGAACGTCCGAAACCCTTCGGGGCTGGTCAAGTATTGGTTCTGTACCAACCCGGTCGGCTTGGTCTGGGCAGAGCTGCGCTGCGAGAAGTCGCGCCAGAACGGCTGGGAGTCGAATACTCGGCGTAATGTTTCATCGTCTGTCGTCTTCTGTCGTGTTGTGTGATTTGCGGGGGAGTAGTCGGAACTGGTCGCATGGGACGCTGGCGATGCGGCCGTCTCCAGGTACCGGCGAGGCTGCAGGCGCTGCAGGCGCTGCAGACAGGTCCGACAGGTCCACGGACGACGCCGAAATGGCATCAGCATGTGCGCACTCATGGTGGCCTAGATAATAAGAGAGATAACACGCGACGTAGCCAGAGAGAAGAGAGCGTCAAATCTATGGAGCAAAGTCGAGGAGACCTATTGATTCCCGAGGCCAACCTTTTGCTCAAGGGGCAAACAGAACATACAGAGCAAACTAAGTCACGTGGACATCCATCGGCTGTTCTGATGTCGCAGGCGTATTTGCCTCCACAGCAGGACATCTAGGAATCCATTCTTGGATTTGTTGATTTCTTTAATGACCTTGCTGTTCTTGACTGGAAGGCGTCCCTGTCGCCACTGCAGTCTTTGACGCATGGAGTTGCGGTCAGCTTTGTTCGGATAAGATACAGACCACCCCGCCTGGGGCCATTATGATCCTTCAAGTCTGATATAAACACATCACATTATTAGACGGCGTTCGGATCGGGAATTCATAATGGCGGCAAATTATTGGGCGTCGACCCAATACCGACATTGGCTCTTCTCACGGGAAAAGCTAACAGAGATCCGAGAAGGGTTCCGCGCGAGGGACCAGACAGCCCATTCGCAATTCCCGTTGCCAGACCAGAGGCTCTTGAACATCTACTTTAGCCAGCGTAAGCAATGCAAGATCACAGACTATCTAACATAGGCCTTCCCGCTAAAGCCCTGCAGAATTGATCAAGCTGGGGAAGCGAATGTCCACGAGACAGCAAGCTCTGGCGACAGCCCAGATATATATCAAGAGGTTCTACACCAAGAACGAGATCCGGCACAGCAACCCGTACTTGGTGGCGACCACGGCATTCTATCTCGCCTGTAAAATGGAAGAATGCCCCCAGCATATCCGATACGTGGTCGGCGAGGCCCGGGGCCTCTGGCCAGGTATGGAAACTCGACTCTTTTACGGGACTGGAACTAAACCATTATCTAGAGTTCATTGCCCCCGACGTTTCCAAACTGGGGGAGTGCGAGTTTATGTTGATATCCGAAATGAACTCGCAGCTTATCGTACACCACCCGTACCGGACTCTCTCGGAACTCCAGCCCGAGCTGGCTTTGACATCAGACGAGGTGGCACTCGCATGGTCGGTGATCAATGATCACTACCTGACAGACCTGCCATTGTTGCACCCTCCTCATGTCATTGCCGTGATGGCCATCATCGTGGCCATCGTCTTCAAACCGAGCCAATCCGGTTTCCATGGTTCCGCGGCCCCGTTGGCCGGCGCAATGCGCGACGGAGGCATGAACATCCTTGCAGCACTGGGGGATCGGGGCGGAGCAGGACCTCCCGCCCGGATCCAAAAACTCATCAGCTGGCTGGCGGATAGTGAGGTGGACATCCGAGCGGTCATTGAATGCACGCAGGAGCTGGTCTCGTTGTATGAAGTCTGGGAGCAGTACAGTGAGAAACACTGCAAGGAGCTGCTTGGGAGGATGGTCAAGAGTAAAAGCCTTGACAAGTGATGCTGAGTGTTTCTATGTGCTGGCTTATATGACCTTACGTCTCTTTCTCACGATCTTGAAACCCACATACTCCACACATTGCAGCGTTGCATTTGGCTTGCATTATACGGATTACTGTACCGTGCTTTTGGACATTAGATTATTGCTCAACATCAATGCTACTGCCGGTGTAAATCAGTCTGAACCCACGCTTTCTACTACCTATCATACAGAAGATAATCACTCCTGACTCCCGGCCGTTCCTGAGACTATATGGTTCATAGAGGCCAACATGCGTATCTAGTCTGTTGTTGAACGCCAGTCATACGAACAACTGTAGACCGCTCACAACGTACAGTATATAAAACATAGTACCATTCGTGAAATGCATACAGAAAAACAACCTGCCATGTTTGACGCACTACCATATTTATTACTTTTCAGGTGGTAGATTGTACTGGAGGAGGCATCAAGGCATTCTTATATGATCACGTGTCGCGCTAACCGAATCGGGCCATCAGCGAGTCGGGACAAAATCAGTTGAAATTGGAGATCCGCCTGCGCCGTCGAGACCTCCAAGTGCAACTCGATCCCATACGCCATGTCTGGATTCCTCACGCAGAGCTGCCTCCGACAGCTGACGCGGGGCCCTCTCCGCCAGGGCTCCCTCCCAATCTTCCTCGCCCCGGCCTTCTCGCAACTCCCTCGCACCCAGTCCTTCTCCACGACCTCCCCGACCCAATCTCGCGTCGGCGCTGCGGCGATCGCCATTCCCCCGGAAGTCTCCTTGAAATTCATCGATCTGCCTCAGGTCGCCGTGAGAGGTGTAACGAAGGATATTCCGACGACAAGGGTGGAGATCAAGGGCCCTCTGGGTAAGCCAACGACCGGGGAATTCATGCGGTGCTGGGACGCCCACTACCGCGGAGAAGTGTTGCGTCCACTAACATCTGGAATCTTCTCATCGCAGGCGAATTGTCCTTGACGCCCCCTTCCTTCCTGACGATCGATCATGACGAAGCCGCCCGCAAAGCGAGCCTGTCCGTCGTGGACGCCACGATCGCTCACCAACGTGCCATGTGGGGTATGTATCTCCCGTCCGACAGCGCTTCCTCTCCAGACCACAGACCACGTTTCTAATCGCCGGAATTGTACGGTAGGAACCATGCGGGCACTGCTACAAAACTCCGTCCTGGGCGTGTCGGAAGGCCACGTCTGCATTCTCAGTCTGGTCGGTGTCGGTTACCGAGCGATGATCGAGCCGACGGCCACCACGGTCGAGTCCGAGTACGAGGGCCAGCAGTTCGTCAACCTGAAGGTCGGATTCTCGCACCCGGTCGAGCTGGGCATCCCCAAGGGCGTCAAGGCCAGCACCCCGCAGCCGACTCGCATCCTGCTGGAGGGTATCGATAAGATTGCCGTGAATCAGTTCGCCGCGGAGATCCGCGAGTGGCGCCGGCCTGAGCCTTACAAGGGCAAGGGTATCTTCATCAACGACGAGACGATCAAACTGAAGGCGAAGAAGATCCGGTAAACGAGGGGTTCCGCATATTTCTTTTTGTTCTGTTCCATTCTGTACATGTATATCCAAGCACGGTTTCTCATTTCTCATCTCGCGATTGGTATCTATGCTATGTATTTCTAGACGCATCTAGCGTGCACGGTCTAATCCGATAAAGATTCGTTGCAGGGTCCCGGGATTACTTCACCCGGTGGTGTTATTTATGTACTTGTTTTTTTTTTCGCGCGTAATTTACAGCTTCAGGACCTTCTTCACCGCACCGATGACCTGGTCCTGGATGGCCTTGGGCGCCGCCACGACCCCCGTGTTGGCCGCGAGCGTGCGACCCTTGCTGAAGTCCAGCGTGTTGCCGTAGATATCCGTCACCTGGCCGCCGGCCTCGCGGACGATCAGGTCGCCCGCGGCGTGGTCCCAGATCTTCTCCTGGTAGTCCTTCTTCACGGGCAGGCGCAGGTAGATGTCGCCGGCGCCGCGGGCAATCGAGCAGTACTTGGCCTGAGAGTCGAGGCGCACGCTGGGGGCGGTAATGCCCAGCAGCTGGGCCACGGCGGCGTTGTCGCCCTGCGCGGAGTGAGCCGCCTCGACACCCTCGCAGAAGACCGCCTGGGCGATATCGGGGACAGGACGCATGGAGATCGACTTGCTCTCGGCGAGCTTGCCGGCAGCCAGGGGCCGGCTCGCGGCCCCGACGCCCTTGACGGCGGAGAACAGGACGCCGTTACCGGCGCCGCTGGTCTGGTCGACGCCAATCGACGCGGACAGGGTCTCGGCGTCGTTGACGGGCAGGTTGGGGCAGCCAATGGCACCAACCTTGACGTCTCCGTCCTCCATCAGACCAAGGCAGACGGCGTACTGGCCGCCACGGAGGAAGCCCTTGGTGCCGTCGATGGGGTCCAGCGCCCAGATACGACCCTTGGGGCCTCCCGCGCTCTTGCCCTGGTCGATGATGTCCAGCATCTCGACCTCGCTCGGCAGCGGGCCGCCCAGGAGGGCGTCGCTCTCGGGGTCCTCCAGCTTGATGTCCTGAACCAGTCTCCAGATCTCGGCGCTCAGCGCCTTGTCCTCGCGCAGGGAGCTGGCCTCCTCCTCGGCGACGATCTCATCGTTGGGGAAGTTCTTGCGGATGGCCTGGATGATCAGAGCCTGGGCACCGAAGTCGCCGATGGTGACGGGGGACTTGTCATCCTTGGAGACGGTGCCCTTGGCCTTCTCGTTGAAGACTTTCTGGGTGAGGATGGTCGCGCGCTGGACGGCGAGCTCGGCGATAAGACGTTCCTGTTGGTAGGCCATGGTGTGTGTTTGTAGATTGGTGGTGAGGTGGGAGAGGGCGTGGGTGGAAGGAGGGGTTGTAACGAGGTGGGGGAGATGGCGGGTTTTAAAGGTCCAGATTAAACTGGCTCCCAACATCAAAGTGGAGCAGACAACCAAGCGCGATAGAGACAGGGGACGAATGGAGGGACGATCCACCGTGTCTGGTGGGTGTACAGGGTCCATGGGGGAATTAAGGAAGCAATCACTCTCGGTTGTACTGAGATGGGTTGAATTCAAGTTCACTTCGTGTGGAATATACTATAATACTAGTAGTAGTTGTATGTTTTCAGCAACTGACTGGGCCAACTGGCGAGTTTTTATAGGTACCGAACTATTTATTATGGTGATCCTGATTTGGTGACCTCCTCATTCCTCCTTTCAATTTCCTTCTCCCCACTACTCCCCCACACCTTGCTTGCTTTCACCTCAACTTTCGTTCCTGCCTTGAGATCTTCTCTCGCTCGACGTTTTCTGTCAACGGTGCGCTCGACCACTCCTGTCTTGCGGGAAAGACCAGATAGAGCCGGCTGTAACCTGGACTCATCCCCACCCACCACTGTCGCCGGTCGCAATGGATTTCCTCAAATCCGCTGTCGCATCTGCGATCGCGAAAGGCAGCTCCTTTCCGTACTCGCTTGGAGACCGAGTGGATATCTCCGATTCGATTTGGACCCTTCACAATGCGACCAAGCGGGTAAGCCTCCAACCCCTTCCCCGCGCTTGTGAGCCTTGTCTGGCGCACCGTCGGATATTGGAGCTGACAGAGTGACTTGCTTGCGACCATGTAGGAAGACGGATCGGCTTGCAGTATCTTCACCTTTGAAATCGCCGCGAATAAATCCCGCCTCCCATTAGCCAGGAACGCCGTGCGCAAATCGCGAACGCTGAGACACCCGGGGGTCATAAAGGTGTTGGACACGATTGAGGTATATGGGGGTCGCAGAATGGACTTAAATCACACCTGCTGACGCGGTACAGACCGAGACCAACCTCTACATTGTGACGGAACGAGTGGTTCCCCTGTCCTGGCACGTCAAGCGGAGGAGCCTGAGCGAGGAAACCTCCAAGTGGGGATTGTACACAGTGGCAGTATGTTTGTCATTGCTATGTTATGCTTCGCGTGTCGGTCGCTAACAATCAATGGCCAGTCGACCCTCAAGTTCATCAACGATGATGCGACATCGGTTCACGGTGCCGTACGCGCCTCGTCGATATACGCTAGTGAAAGTGGCGAGTGGAAATTGGGCGGGTTCGATGTTCTGAGCTCGATGAACGATGAGGATGCTATCATATATGTGAGGCCGTCCGAACCAAAAGATAGGGGACGGCGTGTTCTGACAACCAGCAGACCTACGGGAGCCTTGTGCCAGACTCCGCTCGCTACACGCCCCCGGAGATCGCCAAAGGCGGGTGGGATGCCATCAAACGGCATCCTCTCTCCGCCGTCGACTCGTACGGGCTCGGAATCCTGGTATATGAAGTATTCAACGGCAGTTTTAGCGGAGGCGACCAGGTGGGCAGGACGACCAACATCCCGCCGAGCATGCAACAGAGCTACAAGCGTCTTTGCACCGCCAATCCCAAATTACGCCTGAGTGCGGCGCACTTTGTTGACCAAGGCAAGAGACACGGGGGCTTCTTCCGCACTCCATTGATCGCCATGGCAGACGACATTGAGAGCCTCGGACTCAAGTCTGATGCGGAGCGGGAGGAGTTTATCAATCAGCTGGACGAGCTTTCTGACGACTTCCCGGAAGAGTTCTTTAAAATGAAGGTGCTCCCAGAGCTCTTGAAGTCTGTGGAGTTCGGTGGTGGTGGCCCAAGAGTTCTCAGCGCCATCATGAAGATCGGAGCGAAGCTGACCCCTGACGAATACAACGCACGGCTCACGCCGGTGATCGTTCGTTTGTTCGGGAACCCTGACCGTGCCTTGCGCGTGTGTCTTTTGGATAATCTCCCGCTCATGATCGATAACCTTCCGCAGAAGATCGTGAACGATAAGATCTTTCCGCCCATGGTAGGCAACGTGGCCCGTTTTACCCAAGCAGAGACTGACCGAGATACCAGACCTCCGGTTTCACCGACATTGCGCCTATGGTGCGAGAACAGACCGTCAAGGCGGTCTTGTGCGTCATCAATAAACTGAGTGACCGGACCATCAACGGCGAGCTGCTGAAGTTCCTCGCTCGCACGGCCAACGACGAGCAACCGGGGATCCGTACGAACACGACCATTTGCCTGGGGAGAATCGCCAAGAATCTAGGACAGGGAGTATGTCGAGAGCGTCCCCCGGATTTGATATGGCGCTAACGTGAGGGTAGTCACGGACCAAGGTCCTCATTGCGGCTTTCAGCAGATCCCTGCGAGACCCATTCGTGCACGCTCGAAATGCCGGTCTGCTGGCGTTGGGTGCGACGATCGATTTCTTCACCGAGGAAGATTGCGCGACCAAAATCCTCCCTGCGATTTGCCTAGTCCTGCTGGACAGAGAGAAGTAAGGATCCCTTCAAACCTTCTGCCGTCACCGCATCTAATCACTTAAGCAGGATGATTCGCGATCAAGCCAACAAGACCCTTGACCAGTATCTCCAACGGATTCGGAATTTCAGCCGCACCATGCCCGATACTGCACTGCCCCCGACCAGCAGTGCGGAATCGACCAAAGAACCCGCCCGTATGGGAGACTCCAACGATAAATCCTGGGCCGGATGGGCTATCTCCTCGTTCACGAATAAGCTTGCCACGGCAGACGGAGAAATCCAGCCAACTGCCAACGGTGCGAAGCCCGCGGAAGCCGAGGGCCCTCGTTCGGCATCCGTACCTCGCCCGACGATGTCTTTCCCTTCGGCGAAATTGAACTCACCCAAGCAGACCCTGCGTCCAGCCGCCCAGCCGCTGGGCCGTCGGTCTGTCTCCGAACAGCCAGCGCTCGTCACGACGGACCACGACGAGCAAGAACAGGACGACGTTTTCGATGCCTGGGGCGCCATAGACGACGATGACGACAATAACAAAGACACGCAGGAAGATGATCCATTCAGTGCCCCGGCACCGTCTCGACCATCGTCGGGCATCTCAACCAAGCCCAAGCCGTCGCCCGTTCCATATGACGATGGAGGCGAGCCTGACTTTGCGGGATGGCTGGCCGCCCAGTCCAAGACCAAGAAGACTTTGCCGAAAGGGTTGAGCAAGCCATCGACGCCAATCTCTCGGGCGTCCAGCCGGGGAAGTGAGGTGAAGCCCAAGCCTGCCGCGCCGGCGAAGAAGATCAACACGAAACCAAAAGATGACGAGGAGGAGGATGGCTGGGGGGCTTGGGATTGAGTGCAATAGTGGCATTCCCTTCCCCAGTCTACACGACTTCAGCGCACCACCTCACATATCCACAGACTCGCATGGCTGTCAAGCAACGGATCCACTGACCGTGACCAACACCCGGACATCACTGCCACGGTCTTGGTATGTTCACCGTGTTGGAACACATGGTACCGCCGAACTACTAGCACATGATACCCGTTTTTGGCCGTTGCACCCTACTTCGAAATTGATGTACAGCTCATCCACTTGTCTGACCACCCCGAACTCCATCCGAATCCACCAAGCGGAGTAGCATAGACCAGCGATCTAGCGTTAAGCTCTGTATACAGATTCCATTGGCTCACAGCACAGCTCAAGATAGCCTATACAGCCACTGAGCCAATCCGGGATATCACCAAACTATGTACCATATAGAAATGCATATAGCAAACAATATAAACCCTTCACTCCCTGACAAGACTCGGTATATTTATCAAACCGCATGCGTATAGAAACAGTAAAATCGGGATTCTGCCGCCGAACTCCGCCATCGCCGTGCCGATTTTCG